TAGATTCAGATTCCTGGAAGCAAATTACGATGAGATTTATGGCAGGTAACTTGAAATGTAACACGAGGTATTTATTTGTTTTCTATTCAAAAAGTCCACCAAATTGCACATGGCATTGCCCAACCGACAAAACAGCAGTTAATCAAAGAATAGCACAACAAATCGACCAACATGTAGTGTCGAACGAGGTCTGATTGATTTGTGTAAAAAGTGAAAAATAAAAGCAAACCTGCTAGAAATGAGTTCCGTCCAACGACAATCATCGCAATCATCGTCACTGATAAACCCATTGTGCCCAACTAAAAAAAGACAAAACTTTTAGTTAGTTTCTTGTTTTCTGAGATATGCAGAAATTGATACAGTTGTCCGTGGGAAAAAAAGCTAAAGTTGAGAAGAATTCTTTCTTTTTTCTGCAAATGAGTCTTTTTTTAAGAGCGTATATGATTCTTGTTCTTCGACAACAGTGCCAAAACTCGGACTGACTCGGACCATGATTGTTCCTAGGATCTTCCAGATTGCCTAAAGTTCGCTCAAAACAAGGCCATTCTTTTTATTCATATTACAAAACATCTTTTTATGGCGAATGTCATATGAATGCATTTTTTATAACCTATAAACAAGCTCAACTAATCGGTCAAGGCAACCAAAATGAAAAAACTTGGCTTTGGTTTTTGGAACAGCTCTGGCTTGACCGAACTGGCCTTGGCTCTGGGCTTAGAAATTTTATAACAGGCCGATTGTTGTCAAAAAGGTACTTACGGTTAGATAAGTTAGGATCTGATTCGAACCGTGTTTTCAGACGGTTTCCTGGTCAAAAAAATCAAACTTTGGGCAATCGGTCGAAAATTTTTGGGACCAACCAACCGATCACATATTTATCTGCCACTCACCATCGACATCACCGCTATTTGTACTTGATTCGCGGTCAATATTGCTAAAGCCGTGCTGTTCGAATCCATTTTGGAAATTTGACTGAATTTCAGAAAAAAAGCAGAAATTGAGAACAAAATGTTCAACAAAATTTTCTTGCAATTTTCGTACGGCGTGAGAAAAACGGTTGTGTCACTTTTTTGTTGAAGGGGATCTTTGAACGAGGAAGTATCACTTCATTTCAAAATTTTTTAGATATTTAAAAATGGGAGTCTTTCTTACCAAAGCTTTTTAAAGTCTGACGGTCTTGGCGTGATATATGGTGTACGCTTTTATCACTTTTCATTCTTTTTCATCCGGACAGAACAACTCATTTTGAGTGCCAATGCACATAAGGATAAAGGAAATTGAACTATTATTTTATAATTATCGGAAATCCAATTAGTGTTGCAGGATTAAGTTTAATCATTTTTGTACAAAATCAAGAGATCCAAAAGATCCAAAAGTTCAACCATTTTTGTATAAAATCACTTTTTGGGGTAAATCAGTACTTGTAAATTAGGAATAAGTTGTTTTGTTCGGATCCGAAAATCATTATCTGCCGGATTATATCACGAAAAAAATAAGTACCCTTTGATTAAAAAATCCTGAAGGTTCTGATTTTCGGATCCGGGTGAAATCAGCAAACTTTTTTGGCTGAAGATTCTGAATATGAGCTAAAACTTTAATTGATCTGATATTCGTCATTCATAAACAAATTTTATTTTGTGTTTCCGAATTTTGGAACCAGATGCTACTCAGTTTTTTAGATGCTTTGGATTTTTGGATGCGCACTTCCGAAAGACAAGAAAACGATCATTTTGTGAGGGCTTTTTGCGAGTGAGTAACTTTTCTGAGTTTTTATTTTCCAATGAACACGAACATTCCAAAATGGTCAAATGTGTGTTCTGGGCTTTTCTTGACTCAGCACACTCTTGTTGTGCCTCTAAACGAGTTTTCGGGTTTGATTGTTAGCTGCTTGCCTGAAAGTTGTTCCAAAAAGCAAAATTTGGTGTCTATCAATCACTCGGCTATTTTCAGCACTGTTTTGGTTTGTCGCTTATTTTAGTTGTTCGGTTGTTGTCTTTTTGGTTTATTTGTCATCAAAAAAGTAATTGTCTTGTCTATGGAAAGCTAGTGGCGCAGTGGTAGTGTGCTCGCCCCCAGTTTTTTGCCCCTTTCGGTCGCCCCGTTATACTCTTTTGCTTTTTTTTGAGAAAATGTTTAGAAAATTTGAATTGAATCCCACTATTTTGTGGAATTGAATTGAATTCCACTATTTTTGAATAAGCAGTCCGTGAAATCGTGAACAATGTTCACATTTATGTTAACACAAAAAAGGTTTCACCGTTAAATTACGGCAAGACTAGTACAATTAGTTGGAGAATTTTGAGTGAAAGCTTTGCCCTCGTTTGACCTGTTCAGGAAAGTCACAGATCCGACTGATAACAGAAGCCACTTATTCAAAAAGGAACTAAGTTTTGACAGCTCTTCAGCTAAGTAAATATTTTGACTCAGGTCATCTTGAAGCAAGTGATAAAGAAGACTTGAAAAGGAGAGTGAATTGAAGTGTTTTGTCGAGCATTGGTCAACTACTTCTTTTATTCTATTACAAATATATTTGTTTCATCATGAAAATCTTTATGAAAAGTACCGAAAAGCCCCGCATCGACAATGTCGAAAGACGGTCCGATCTCGAGTCACAAAATGGGACGACAAATACAGGTATGATTGCATTTCGTAGGAAAGATTTCAAATTTAACTGGTTAACAAAACTTTGAGAATTTGTTTAGATTATATAAAAGCTTGAGAAAGTCAAAACTACGAAAGACAATTTTTTCAAACTCATTAATTATTCTTGTAGTTGCTGCTTTATCAATCTTTATGCAAGACAAGGTTTTCGAGAATTTTCACTTGCCGAATGTTTTATTGAATTTGTGATTTCTTACCCGGAAACTAATTTTTTAAGGGAGATTAGTCAAAGTGTCGGCTAAGGCTAATCTTTTGAGAATTCTTGTGGAATTGTCCTTTTGTTTTTAGAAGACAATCTTAATTCAGATCTCATGTATTTTCTAGTCTAATAAATCGATATAAGATTTATTTAGAAAGCCTGTAACTAGCATGAAATCTGACAATAAATCAATTTGAGAGCATAAGATAAAAACAATATAGGGTTACAGTAGTTGATCCCTGATAGATCAACTTTTAGAAAACAATACAAATAGAGATAAACATGTTATCCCAACAAGAATTGGCATTTTTCTTCCTTGAAATGCCCAATGAGCTTTTGAACGTCGTGATCGAAATCAATTTCAATTTGATAACGTTGCGAAACCATTTCAATTTAAATTTCAAGAAATTTTTGATATACCAAATACCCTAAAAATGTTTTGAAGGGGTTTGATACCTCATAGATAAAGTACGGTAATTTTCTTTTTTTCAGCTCCCAGTGATGAGCCACTTCAAAGAGCATTTCGAGGTCTCGGCCTCATCGTGATGGTCCTTCTCTCAACATTAACTCTCGCCCTTCTTCTAGGTTTTGTCATTGGGAGAAATTGAGCAAAAAAATCTTCTGTTTCTATCTTAATTTAATTTGATAAATTGTACATATGCATAAATAAGCTTTCAAAGTCAATATTTGCTGAAAGAATTGCAAAAAAAGTGATGAAACAAAAAGAGACATTTGAAAAATTACTCGAGCTGCAAAATAGAGAAAAATAATGAGTTTTGCACAAAAATATTTTTCTCGACGCCTCGATTGATAACGAATTTTCGACTGCTAAATGAAAATTCTGTCACAAAGAGCCAGAAGAAAGGTGGAAGAATCCCACAATCATGAGTCAAAATAGCTCAAAAGCTATTATTACCATTTTGTTGTTTTATGTTGCATTGTGCAAGAAATGTTGCACTCGAGGCTTAGGGCTCGATTGATAAAGAAACGCCAACACTATTGCCATCGTCCAGTCGTGCCCTAGGTCGATCAATTTCAAACCTACTTTCAATTTGCTCCATTACCCATAAGACAAGGTGTTGTACTTGTCATAAGATCTGTCATTTTTTGCTTCTATAAAACGGAAGAAAAATGGATACAAAAAACGGGAGCATGAAGATTGCGCCACTGTGTAAAAACGGAAATTGCGTCGAATGGAATTGCCATTTACCATTGTCTTCGCCAAGTGCAGAAAAGTTTTCAGAGAGACTGAGAGAATCTGAATAAAATGGTTGCAATTTGAATTTTTTTTGCGTTAGTTGGTTATCAAGAAGGATAATTTGTGGGAATTGGTATGAACTTTATGAGACCACAAAAGTTCACTCTAGCAAATCGCATTTACCCTGATTCAGTGCTGGTTCCATAATTGAGCGGATTATTAGTCGGCTGTTTAATATCGTTTAGCTTAAAAAGTTTTGTGAATTAACCAAGTAATTAGTCCGGTCTTGATTCGATTATAGAATAATATTCACATGACCTAATAACATTTGATTAGATTAGTTAGCAAAGTCAAATTCATCGACAAGATATAAAAGAATGGATAATTTGATAGAGAAAACATAATTTCAAGTAGAATTTTTTTTTTCTATATTAATAAGTTTGATGAAGTTCCTTTACCGAAACGAACACTTTTTCTAATTTCCCTTAGAACAGGTGAAAATTAGCTGTTCTTTTTCGATTTTCCAGAAACAAAAAGAAAAAAAGTGTTTGTCAATTAAGAGTTTATTCTAAAAGCTTATGGTTTTGATGATTTTAGAAAAGAATTTACGTACAAAGTTTCACAATTTTAATTTCCCTTAGAACAGGTGAAAATTAGCTGTTCTTTTTCGATTTTGTAATTTTGTGGTCACAATGTGGTCACAATTTTGTAAAAAAATCGACACCATTTGAGCCAAAGTCAAAGCTAGCTTTAAATTTGGACAAAAAACAGTTCAATATAAAGGTATGATATCAATATAAAGTACCTTAAACCTTAAAATTACTGAAAAAAGCTGAAACTAATAATGCAACAGAAATTTAGATAAAGTGTTCAGTAGAAAATGCTTATAAAATAGAATAAAAGTTTATTGTATCGGGAAGAGACTGTTTTGTGTAGAGCTCATGTAAAATCGTCGCCCCTGTGCTCCATAACATGAACTGCATACACAAAGCCATCGATAATCATCGGTTCGAGGAATTGAAGAAGAATCGAACTAAAACATTAAAAAAATTATGTTTCCAATGAAAAACATTACATTTGATACTCTATCGTTTGAAAAACACACCATTTTTGCTCTACGTCAACTGGTGATTAGTTATTTGTATTTGTTTGTAAACTAGCTCACTTTAATTGTTAACTAATCTTTTGCAACTAAGCAAATCGGAGAAAATTGACATTTCTATTAAATTTTATTGAAAGAAAGGGTTATGTAATCAACAAGTAAAAGTTGGTATTATCTTTTTACTACACTGCTTCTTTTTAAAACATCAAACGGATGAATTTTGAAAATTTCTGAACAACTTTGACGATAAGATTACTTTTGAATAGCTGAAATAAAAAAAGTGGATTCCATTTTTATTTAGAATGATCAAGGGAATTTATAATGCTACTTAAAGTTTTGTCCACCGACCTTTTTCTGTCCATCCACAATGTGCCATCTCTTCTCACATCCACCCCTATCACACCCTTTTCCCATACACGCCCAACTGCACGGAACGTCTGCACGGAACGTTGATTTGACTGCTCTGTGATTCTTTCTCGAGGTATCTATTTATCTTTTGGGTGTGTTTTGAGTGGTGTCCTGGGTAATTATTGTCATTTTGTTTTGTCGCTATTCAACTGAATAAAGCATATTATATATAATACAATGTGTTACAGATTTAGATGGAGGATAAAATCGGGTACTTCGAAGGTAGAAACAAGCTACTTTTACTCAACTTGAAGCTCGACGCAAGCTTTGACTCGGTTTGCTTTTCCAAAATTGCCTTCGGAGTAGAGTTTCAAAATCCGGGTGTAAAAATGAGAAGTTTTTAGACCCGGGTCGTGTGGGTCGTGTGGGTGTAGTTAAGCACGCTCCCGACTGCGCCACGGCGACAAAAACTACTTTTGAAATAATTTGAATATTTGAAAGCTTTTTCATGAATGGAACTCAAGAAGTCTAAGGGAAAGTCAAAAGTCGGGGCCCACCCACTTCCACAAATGGCAACGGAAATTGTTGGATTCTAAGAACACAAAGATTCGATAAGATTACTACAGGTGGTGCAAGTAAATTCTACAATTCTCACAAAACAAGGGTTCGATAAGATAACTACGAGTGATGGGTCAAAATTTCTACAATTTTTACAAAACTCTACATCTAGAACTAGGCCAATGACCTTACTAAAAGTTTATAAGTTTCATTTGACTTTCGTTTTAGATTCGAATTCTACTTGAAAAAGCTCTTGAGGAGAATTGTTTTCTGAAAGGTGAAGCTTTATTCTGAACCTGATTTTCATCCAGTACTTTGAGCCTTTAAACCCATCCTATTTATTTCTGGATTAAAGGTTTCTAATATTCCAGGCATTTTTACTGCTGAAGATTTGCCAATGGGTATAAAAAGAAGATAAGATTCGCCAATGGGTACAATCTGCTCGACTGAATATTTTTCTGCTAAAGATACTCAGCTCGCCGGCCAAATGCATATTTGCCAATAAATATAAAATCCGAACAGGCTGCGATTCTTGCATTTTCTTCTCTTATTTTCAAAAGGAAGCCCCAATCCTTTCGATCGATTTTGGTAGTTCGGAGTTAAAATTTTTTCCTCGTCATGGTTATCCTGGTGCATGAGCCGAGTTATTTAGAGATTATTTAGGATCTTGTCTAGAAGTTTTCATTTTAATCGTTTTCATTCTGATTCTAGTTCTTTCAATTCTAATTGTTTTCACCAAATTTAATTCTTTTTTATTTACAGGTAGAACGACGCCAAGCAAATTACGGTTCAAAATGCGAAAGCTGACGTCATTCCCGATGGAGAAGCTCTGTTACGACCCAAAGTTAGAGGTGTTGGAGGAAACCATGCCAGAAGAGACGATTGAATTGATCAAGGTGAATACTGGATTTCGATCGATTCTGCTGCGGACACCCTGGATAGTTTTTGGGCATCACGTGGCCCTGATGGATTTCGGATCTGGTGGTTGGGTTCTAATCGAGAAAGGCTACAGCGATATGAGCCAATTTGATACCGATCTCCACTTTCCATTGATGAAACGAATCCACTCGTGTAACAGCTTGTCAATAGACTTGGGCCCCGAAGAATTCAGCGACACACAAGCGATGATTCTGAATCAATTGAAATATCAACCTGTGACAAGTTTGACGCTTGGCGGGGACGGCTTTGCGGGTACCACGAACGAAACGAATTTCCGAAAATTTCTTGAGAATTTCCGCTCGGTGATTGAAATACGGGCAATTATTCATGTAGACATTGAGTTGTTAATACAGAATCAAGTGATCAGCAGCCTTTTTGAGAATTTCATTGCGAATCAAATGAATGACTGCGAAAGCGTTGATTTTTTTTGTCATTCCGTAGCGGCTTTTCACTTCTACATCGATGCTTTTGCCAGGACTTCGATCAAATGCATGATAGTATTGCGGTGCTCGGATCACTTTGAAGATATCGTGCGATCAATTGTTGAAAAGCGAATCCCACGCAAGAATTTGAAGACGGCTTTTCGTCTGCTAACCAATTATTCTCAGGAAAGAAACGCCCCAATCATCGACCTTCTTTCGCAATTCCCTGGAATAAAGCGATTTGACGGAAAAAATAAGCAAGAAGTCATCGAAATGTTGGGGGAACTCGGGAGAAAGCATCTGGAGCCGCTTGCTCTCACGAACATTATATTTTTTCAACGAGTATCGATTGACTCGAGTATCGACTATGTCTACATGTTGTCATCGGAATTTGATCATACAGACTTTTTCGCCTTCTACGTTCAGCCGCGATCGGAAATGATGGAGTCTTGAGAGTTTTCATTGGATTTTGTACAATTTTTTATTCATTGTCAAAATCTTCTGAGCAGCCGGCACAGAAATCGTCAAAAAGAATCGATCTTTTTTTGTTGTAAATTGCTGCTTCTTTTTGTGTAACGCATTGTTTGTCAAATTTTCCTCAAAATTTCAATCATCATCTTTTTTGGGCAAAAATAAATTTTTATAAATAACCAATTAAAAGTGAAATCAAAGAAAATAAGCAGACAAGCTAAGGAATCGGATACACATCGGATGGAGAACAGAGGGATTGCCGTATTGTCTCCACTCTTGCTTGGTTTTATTAGATGTACAAGGTTTCATTGAAGTTGTTAAATTATGTAAGAAACTGAAGCGCGTCTAGGTTGTTAAATGGGAGAGTCAGGCCAGGACCCTGGATCTGGTTTCTGGATATTTTGCTTGACTCTACATGGGTATAGAAATTTTAGACTGAATTACCAAATTATGGGCCAACCTGTGTGAAATATTGAATATTTTACGTAGATCGACGGACGCGATAAAAGGAGTAACTCTGCATTGAACTCGATAAAAATTCTTGATTGAATGATTTTCATCATTCCCGATTGTAGTGGAAGGTAGAAGGCAGAAAAAGTGGTGGTGAATGGTGGAAGCAATGAGATTCTCACAACTTGAACCATCTTTCTTTCGTTGCTATTTCTGTGTCTCTCAATTGGAATAATGTATGACCAGTCGAATTGTGGATCCTGTTGGGCTATGTTGACGGCTTCGGTGCGTTATAAACATTTATTAGTTGGCTATCAAGAAGGATAATTTGTGGGAATTGGTATGCACTTTATGAGACCACAAAAGTTCACTCTAGCAAATCGCATTTACCCTGTTTCAGTGCCGGTTCCATAATTGAGCGGATTATTAGTCGGCTATTTAATATCGTTTAGCTTAAAAAGTTTTGTGAATTAACCAAGTACTTAGTCCGGTCTTGATTCGATTATAAAATAATATTCACATAACCTAATAACGTTTGATTAGATTGGTTAGAAAAGTCAAATTCATCGACAAGATATAAAAGAATGGATAATTTGATAGAGAAGACACCATTTCAAGTAGAATTTTGACAGTTTTTCTGTATCAATAAGTTTGATGCAGTTGCTTTACCGAAACGAACACTTTTTCTTTTCCTTAGAACAGGTGAAAATTAGCTGTTCTTTTTCGATTTTCCAGAAACAAAAAGAAAAAACTGTTCGTCAATTAAGAGTTTATTCTAAAAGCTTATGGTTTTGATGTTTTTATTGGGTTGGTGAATTGAAAACTGCCTGCTATTGTCATAGTGTCATGAGCACTTTCTTCAAAAGAAACCCATTTTGGTGTCAGTGGAAACGTTGTAGAGAATCAAAAATGAAGCTTATATCCAAATTTTCAGAACGATTCAAAAATTGGTTTTCAAGAAATGCCACATTTACGAATTTTCACAAAACTTGCATTTTAAGCGAAACTACTAAGTGTATCTTTTTGGAAATTTGGCTATAAGCCTAATTTTTGATTCTCTACAAGTTTTCTATTGACACCAAAATGGGTTTCTTTTGAAGAAAGTGCTCCAACTGGGACATCTCCAGTCCTCCATTTTTGAGTCTCACACACAAACCAAAAACCTACTACGAAAGAGGAATCCGCAAATTGCCTGTAAAATGGGCAGAAGTCGTCAATAATAATGGTAATTATTTGGAATGAATTGATGGTTTTAATTTTTTTAGATAAATTTTAGTTCAAAGTCCGACAGTTTTCAATTCACCAAACTAATAGATAAGAATTTATGTACAAAGTTTCACAATTTTGTAAAAAAAAATCGACACCATTTGAGTCAAAGTCAAAGCCTGCTTTAAATTTGGACAAAAAACAGTTCAATATAAAGATATGATATCAATATAAAGTACCTTAAACCTTAAAATTACTGAAAAAACCTGAAACTAATAATGCAACAGAAATTTAGATAAAATGTTCAGTAGAAAATGTTTAAAAAATAAAATAAAAGTTTATTGTATCGGGAAAAGACTGTTTTGCGTAGAGCTCATGTAAAATCGTCGCCCCTGTGCTCCATAACATGAACTGCATACACAAAGCCATCGATAATCATCGGTTCGAGGAATTGAAGAAGAATCGAACTAAAACATTAAAAAAATTATGTTTCCAATGAAAAACATTACATTTGATACTCTATCGTTTGAAAAACACACCATTTTTGCTCTACGTCAACTGGTGATTAGTTATTTTTATTTGTTTGTAAACTAGCTCACTTTAATTGTTAACTAATCTTTTGCAACTAAGCAAATCGGAGAAAATTGACATTTCTATTAAATTTTATGGAAAGAAAGGGTTATGTAATCAACAAGTAAAAGTTGGTATTATCTTTTTACTACACTGCTTCTTTTTAAAACATCAAACGGATGAATTTTGAAAATTTCTGAACAACTTTGACGATAAGATTACTTTTGAATAGCTGAAATAAAAAAAGTGGATTCCATTTTTATTTAGAATGATCAAGGGAATTTGTAATGCTACTTGAAGTTTTGGTCCACCGACCTTTTTCTGTCCATCCACAATGTGCCATCTCTTCTCACATCCACCCCTATCACACCCTTTTCCCATACACGCCCAGCCGCACGGAATGTCAGAGATCGGATCCCACATACGGTCATTTTTCACCGCACATTCACGTAGACCAGCTGTGTTGATAAATACATCTTCGGCATGGACAGATAAAATAATCAACAAACAGATTGCAAGTTTTATTACCATCTAAATGTTTATAGATAGATAGATTCACATAGATAAAGTCTCAAGTTGCCAAAAATATATAAAAAAGTTTTAAGGTGAAAACTCAAAAAGTCTAGGTTTAGAATAACCAAGAAAATTTGTAATGCTGTTTGAAATGTGAAAACGTTTCGAAGATGAGGCGATAATCAATCACCGCTCAAGCACAAGTGATCTCTTTTGTGAAGAGAACACAAACAAATGGATGTTTGGACAACAAGATAATCAATTTTGAGAGAGAAGGATCAATAAAGTTTGGATAATTGTAACTTTGAAAACTGGAGTTTTTTTTTGAATAGATTAAACTTTTTTCTTGTATGGAAAATTTCAATTCAATTTGCAGTAGTTTTTGCAAGGATTTGTAAGAAATTTAATCGTAAAGTTTATTTCAAAAAATCTTTTTATAATTCACTGTCAGCATAATAACATTCATGTTCGGGAACCATTGTTTATAAACGGCTTTTCTGGGCCTTTTTGCTTTTTGATCAATTCGAATCTTTCATCGACGATTTTTCGTAATGAAGACGAACAATGCCTAAAAATCGTAAAAGCAGAAATTAGAAATCTATGAATTTAACTTGGCTGGTTCTTTGTTCATGGATAGACCTGGATACCGAACCGAAACTCGAAACTTTAACGAAATCCAGGCGATGAAGCGATGAAAATAACTTTACCTGACACAAAATATCCAGTATTTTGATTTTTTGAACACTTTCGCCTAACCATGGTCCATCTACAAGAATTAGCCTCCATCCATCCAAGAGCTAATCAAATTTACCGATCTATCTAGATCAATCAAGAATATTTAACCCTCAGACTTGGGAAACCGACATTTTAAACGCACTCAGGAATCACCTAGACTCCGCCGAATTTAGCTTGTGGATCTAGTGAAGCTTGGTACAAGTCAAAATAAACTATGGTAAAAAACAGAACTGATTTGATTCAAATCCAAAACTTGATGAGATTTTTGGGTCATCATACACGATTTTTCTTGGTTTAATTGTTAGGCACGCTGGATTTTTTTTGAAAATTTCGTCAAATTCAACATTAAACATTAAATAAAATCACAAGGTCTCGCCGACGCGGAAATATTATGGCCGTTTCTTTGGCTAATTGAAAGATTGGTCAAAAAAGTTAATCCAAATAAAATATTTATTTTTCTATTGATTTAGTAATCATAGATGGGTGGTGTGTTTCCTTCGACTGTAATCATTTCCCAAAACTGTTTCCAAAAAGGTCCATTTGCGAATCTCTCTCTCGCAAAACGATAGCCAACGATCAACTCGTAGAATAAAATCAAAAAGAAACCAGTGATACTGAAATTTATGGCGATTCTATAACAATTAATAATTGAATACACAAACGATTTCCAGAAGTTTCCCAATCGACCATCAAATTACAAATTTGGCCTCAGCCAAACTGTACTTTATCAGGTTGAGGCCTTACGCTCAACCTAATCACTTTGATCTGAAACTGGCCCTTGTTCATTTTTATACACCACTAGAATACAAAAAAATAGGTGGAGATTAACTTTATCAGGGTCCGATTCAGAGTGAGTTCTTAATTGGGGAACCTTCGGAAAACGGCTGTGGAATCAACTAGCACCAACCAAAACTATGTATAGTGAAATGCTAATATTTCAAAATTTTTAAACACTCACGCAAGAACCATCAAGGTTCCGTCACAATAATTGCAACTCTTCTCGTCATTTATTTTCAGCCGGTCCCAAATCGAACAGAACAAATAGATTCCATAGAAGTGCCTAAACATAAATTAGTGTTTTTAGTAGAAAATAATTCAATACTTTGTTGTTTATGACTTTTACGTTTCAAATTCAAAAAAAACGAAACTAAATCCGAAAAATTTTAAGAGAAAAATGGACGTTGTTGGCTTGTTCAATATGAATGTTTATACAAACTAACTGAATAAAATTTTGTTCAAAAAATTATATAAAAAAAGTCTTTTTATTCAGTCAGCTATGAATTTACCAGACAATCGGAATCGAATTCAGCAAGATGTAGCGAAAGCTGAACGGTGGTTCCTGAAATTTTGAAAGTTTTCTGTTTTAAAATTAAAATTCAGTACCAATTAAAAAACGACCTCTAAACTTTTTAAAACGAAAGTTCTAGATAATTCAAACATTTATGTGGTGCCAGCCAACCTTTCCCAATCGTGCCAATATTAAAACGAAGATTGGAATGCATCGAAGAAGACCACAAAATGTCACCCATCGGGGAACACCACCAACCGGACAGCTGGAATTCTCAAAAATTTTTTTAATGGCAAAATACGCTTTGATGTGGCCGTTTATCAAAGCTATTGTGATCTTTTCCATCTTTTCTTTTCCAAGTACCAAATATCTTGTCTCGGTCTCACAAAGTAGTGAACATGTGAAAACTTTTTGTTCCACGAATAGAGCCAAAAAGTATGTGTTACAAAAATTTCAATACTAAAAATTTCTACCCATTTAGATACGGAAATCCAATCGACAGGCAAAAAGTTAATAGAAAAACATTGAAAATTAGGGCAAAATTGAATAAATTACAATGCAGATGAGGCAGTTGTGTTGATGAGCTTTTGGTAAAGACGATTGGCATACTTTTGTCATTTTCTTTTTTGAAAGCAAGAATCAAATAGTAGGAAAGTTTTCGAAAAAGTGAAGATTTTTTTGTTTATTCACTCAAAAACCGCAAAAAGTAGATCCAGAGAAGAGTTTTGTTTGCTTTGTGAGTCAGCGGTTCGTTTGAGAAATGGTTCTGTTCAAAAAGTACAAACAAGTCGAAGATTTTTTTATTTCTTTTTCACAAGAAGAGTTCAAGGAAATTTAAATCGATTTTTCTTCTTTGATGGAATCTTGCAGACAGTAAACAGACTTATATACCTTGCTCGCCTTAAACCGAAAATTGCAGGATGGCAGAATGGATCGATCCGAAAGTTTGTTTGAAATCTTTTTCACTGTAGATTTGATCGGTTTGTGTTAAGCTAGGAAAATTTTGATTTCAAAAATTTATTGTCTTTCATTCTTTTCATATTTCGAATTGAATTTTTTAAATGGGTGGCGGGATCGAGCTTAAAATTTCCGATGAGACCGAATTGATTTGAACTGAAAAATTTGCTATAGCAAATCGAAATGTGTTTCCTGTTGAAGAACATGGCGTTTGAGAAATTCCTTTGTGAAATTTCGATAAGCTCCATAGCCACAAAGAGTGGCCACAGAGAAGATCAGTCCATGGGATTCCCAAGGGAGAACTGGTGTTGTTAGGTAGTTTTAGTGTTGTTTAAAAGTACCAGTTGGAGTTTTAAAAGAGATGCGGCTAGTTTTCGCGAAAAATAGCAATAGCAATTTTTGAGCTTTTTAGCTTTATGTAGTATAATGAGGTTATGTACACAAACCAGAAATTATAATGTTCTAGTTAGTCATTTTCCATTTTGCGATGGGAAATAACAGAAATAAGCAAATGTCAGCCTATGCCATATTGGCAACATATATTGGAGTCAAGGCAAGCCTTTACAATGCACTCCTTGTTGACGGAGTTAAATTTGCGATTTGAGAGGTCATCAAGATGTCCAGAAGTTGTTTGGCAATTGATAAATACGGGTTGGATGGTGGGATTTTTGCCAACTAATTGAAAAGACACGCATAATACTAATGTGAAAGCTTTCTAAAAACTATTTTATAAGTTTCAGTCGGATGCAGAAGAACGACCAACTTTTGGTCGAATTACCAATTTTGCTGATTATGGGAAAATTTTGTTTAAATTGGAAACCGCCAGAGACAGTGGTTATTTGAGTTGTGAGAGATTTGATCTCATGACAAGTACAACAGCTGGCTTGTCTTTTGGGTAATGGAGCAAATTGAAAGTAGGTCTGAAATTCAATTACATTTCCCTTTACATATTTTTAGAAAACGTTGAGCTGCTTCAAATGGAACCCTGATGTACCTGGGTTGATCTTATAAATTTATCTGTACATCTTGAATCTTGGAGATAAAGTTTTAGAAGAGTAAAATTAGTTCTGGAAAATTGTGTTGACATGATGGAATGAAATTAAACAATTGGCGACATCAAAAAAATGAATTCATTGGAATGAAAAAATACATGTCACAAGTGCTAGAATAGGGTGAAAACGGTGAGTGCATCGGTGAAATCGGAACTTTTTTTCTATGAAGTGAACAAATTTTCTTGTAAAGATCTTATTGTGTGTGGATAAACTTAACATCTAAAAGTTATCGCATTTCCCATTTCAATTTTATTAGTTGCTCTCAGCTTCCGAAGGATCCCCATGTTAGTTTAAACTTTCCAAAGTCGTAAAAGTATTGTATGATAATTCTATGGTGCAAATTTCTGAAAAGAAAATCTTTTATTGTTCTAACTTATCGGTATAAATAATAAAAATGATAACTTTGACAACTTTATGAGCCATTCATTCTATTTTCGAGCTTTCTTGCAAACAGGCGATCCGACCAGCGATTTCACCTCATTTCTCCATTTTCCATTCAGCCATGAGCTCAACTAAAGCTAAAGCTAAATTAGTAATGATTAGTAAGCCTTTGTAATTTACATAATAGTTTAAAGCATTTAATGTTTGACATACCGTAAATACTGTATATAGCCCTTCCATTAAAGGGTGCCCTTCTATTGGAGCATGTCCTCAGTTACAGTATTTACAGTAGTTATATAAAAGCTTTCATTTCAACCAAAAACAACCAAATCAAACCCCACCCGAACCCATTTCTCATCGGGAAGATTGTTGGGTTGTCCGTTATCCCAATTTGCATAATCAAAGGGGCTTCCGTCACTCCAATTCCAATTTGTTCCATTGTGCTTTAAACGATTCCTCGAAACGTTCAAGAAAAACCTACCTCTAGCCCAATCCAACCCCACTGAAGGTCACCTAAAAATCGGACGGATCCCGTATATAAAATAATGTAAATTTCGTCTTACCAAGCACAATTTTATTCTCTTCCACACTGTGGATTGATGCAAGACGACTGTTTTCAATTTCACAAATTTCGATGGCTTTATCATAGGTGTCACGGTTAGAGAATCTCTGAAGTTCCTTTTGAGATCAACTTACAAAACCAATTGGGCCCAAATCATGCCTTATAACAAAATCCGTTGAAATGTTTCCATCCAAGTGAACATGGTAACTCTTTGATCATTTCTTTCCTGAAAACAAAACAAAATCAATCGTTTATTAATCATTTTTTTTACCGTTCCTTCTCAAGCGTCTCGATTCTTGCTTCCTGTTCCTTGATCGTTGATTGGAGTTTGGCTCTGGAATTTTCTAGGTTTTCAAGTTTTGTGTTTGACCTTTTTATACTATTTCAAAAACTATTCAATCCTTTAGCTAAGTCTATGCTTTAACTTTTCAATCAATTTCTTTTAAAATGCTTCCAGTTTTCTCAAAACTCAAACATCTTCCTTTGGCACGTTAGCAGAGGAGCATTTTGATCTTCATTTGAGGCTTCCCTAAAAATTGTTTCCTTTTGTTGTTTTTAAAGTGTAAATGTAAATATTCAACAAAGATACGATTTGTATCACGGGAAAAGACACTGTAAACTTACGAATCGGGTTCATTTGAAGCCAACACAGTCCAGGAATAGAATATCCCAAAAATCAAAACCCATTTTCGAATCATTGTTGAATTTCTGGTTGAAAAGAAAAGAGAACAACTTTCGTTCAAAATTAGTTGATAGCTTTTAGCTTTTTTTCCTGTATCAGTTGATTTTTCGGCATTTCTCTTTCTGTAAACTGAACGAAGATGACGATTCGACCAAAATCGTACACTAAAAAACACACCAAGACTAGAAATTTCTGGTGAATTTCGTTGCAAAATAGATGCTTTTCTTTTGGAAATAAAAATGACAAAAAAACGAAATTTTTTAAAGTTCTATTTAAGATCAAAATGTGAAATGTTTTTTGAACTGAATTTACTTTTACTGAATCACTGAATAACTTACTGACTTGTAGTCTTTGGAATGAGATCAATTTTGAATTATATTGATTTCTTTCATTTTATTCACTCAGTCATACTGATCTTGAACTATTGATCAACTGATCGAAATCACCAAAGACAGTGAATGTAATGGAACACACATAGCTACTCAATTTTCTTAGTCTCCACAAGTACAAATGGATTGCTTGCTCAATTTGAAATCAAAGATCAAAGAAGATTACTGAAAAAATAATCAAGTTTTTTTCAAGACTAAAGTCTTGTTTCAAATATTGATGGAGTTTCTCTGCTTTACTTTGATGAATCATTAATATTTCTTGATTTTTGTTGGTAAGTTGAGTGAAAGTTTGGCCATTCATCTAGCGCCGAAAGTAAAAATGAAGTAACCTCATACAAAAACGGCCAAACCTTGAAATGTTTGTATCAATGATTTATCGGTAATAGTCAAACCCGTAAATCGACTGGCTTATTCTACGTGAAGCTTTTAATGCTTTTGATTTGAGTCCCAAAAGCTGCGTCCGGTCTATGGGCAGATGTGTCATATAAAATTTTAATTTTTGTTTCCAGACCCCCAGCCGGATCTAATTTGGTGCTTTTGGACTATTTTCGATAATATAAAAAACAAAACTATATGTGGTTTCCGGAAAAAAAGTCAGCTCACTCCTCTTTAAGGCAAGGAAAAGGAAATTCTAATATGTAGAAGCGAGTTAAAAAAGTATATTTATTCGACACGAATAATGAATTACAACACAACGGAGAAAATTGTTACCCTTACAATTAGTTGCAATTAGTTATTTCTACCAGAGTTTTTGTTCAAAGACCCTTTTATTCTCGACGTGTTTAAGTCCTTATAAACATAGTAAGAGTTCAAATAGTTTCATTTTTCAAATTTTGATACTTAAAAAATTTTCTGGTTCATGCGGTCAACATCATTTCAGTCTCCTTTTCTGTTGGTCTGGTTATCAAACGTGTAAACACCGCCACCGGCTTGACTTCGAAGATTCCCTCTTTCAAAGAGCCCGCGTAGCCAAGCCATTTTCTGTAAGTTGTTGCAGTCGACGATTTTATTGTTAATGGTTCCAAAAATGAGCAGTTCTACTCTTATCCTGAATATCAGCAACATCAAAATAGCTAAATCTGTAAAGACCCTACAATCAGCCCCGTAGCCAAAAGCCGAAAATTTTTCGGAGAGTCAAGAATTCCGAGAAATTGAAATGGTAATTTTTAAAAATTTTACTAGCTGAAGCTCATTTCTGTGCTTTCTGTGAGTGAAGTTGATGTAAATCCAACATTCGGCGCATAGTGCCGGAAGTTTTTGAAAAATACTAATTTGAAGAAGAGAAAATGTTAATTTTAAAAAATATGTTAGAAACTTTTTGACTGAAAATCTATTTCGGGGGTCAATCCGGCTGAAAAAGTCGGGTTTTGGGCGTTTTTGACCTCCCCTCCCTTCCTATCCCCTGGATACGAGGCTGGCTACAATTAAACTCTTGAATTCGAGCAAATGTATCAAACAAACTAACTGAAATGTCGACTCTTCACACTTTGTGACAGTTGCCGCAAAGTCCTGATGACCGCCTTTGATGCAAGACACGAAAGTCTCGGCAATATTGCCACCGGTGTGCGGTAACGAAAACAGTTTTTGCCGAATGTCTTGAAGCTTTTCGAGGCCGATTTTGTGTTTCTTTTCACGGAGAATCGTGATGTAAACGTTTTGGTAGCTTATGCTGAGACTGTTCAATTGGTGTAAACGATCCGAGTCAGTCCTTTTGTGTTTCTTTTTCTCGGCCAAAATAAATTTTTGTAGATGTTTCTCGAAAAGATTTCCTTTCAAAGTGATTCCATTGTTTTGAAGGAACACTGAAAATGTGGACATTGCCTTTAGGACAAAATCGAACTCCCCTTGGTATTCGTCGATGAGATTTTCGATTCTAGGAATTTTCTTTGTAGTCGTGAGAAAAATTCGCTTGGGATCACCAACATCGCAGCCACATTTTGGGCAACACTGACCATACCTGGAAAATGCGGGACAAGAGACTGTTGAGTCTTTTTCGCAGAGGGCACAACTCCGATGACAAGTCAGGTTGACCGGTTCCTGCTTTCCGTCGATCATCTCATAGGTAAAACATTTTTCGCAAACAGTTCGTGGCTTGGAAGCCCGCAATTTTTTATATTTGCTCTCAACCTTATACAGCTCGACTCGTTGTTCGTCAAGCAATTGAATTTTCTGCTGAATGTGTGCACAAGTTTCGAAAATCGGCTCCACGAGATGCTTGATCCAGCTTTCGGTCTCGTTGACCGACAGTGTGTCGGCTGTGTGATGGGGACGGGCTCGAGCCGCGTGTTCTAAGAGCCGGTGAACCTCTTTTGACGAGTGCTCCCAGCTGTCGGCGAATGATTGCACCTCCGAGGATGGGAACTGAATGCCGCTGAAGTGAGCGCACACAAAACGAAAAGCCTCATTATCCAGGTAGTAGGTGTTACTACCGTCGATCTGCACGGAAAGATCATTCTTTTCGCCGAGCTCTCGGAAATATGTCTTCAGCGATTCCATTGTGTCACCCGGTCGATAGCACGTTCCACGAGAGTTTGTGAAAACGAAACAAGCATTGCTGAGCGCTGATCGGTGCAAGCCGCCTAGCAGCTTGCCCATCGAGTATCGAAAAGCGTCGGTGAGACGTGCCTCATTGGCTTTGAAAAGAAAACAGATTGCGTGGATTTCTTTGAAAACAGCGATCGAGCGGAGAATATTTTGAACGTTCTCCTCATCTTTCTGGAAGCCTCTCGTGTCGTTTACGCCCGGGGTGTCAATGATGTAGATATCGTACTCGCCTTTTGCGTACATATACGTTTTTGTCGTTTGCGTGACTGAGTGCCCAACGTCTGCAAAAACTTCATTTTCGTCGGCACCGAGAAGCACATTGTGTTGCCGATTCTTTTCGTCGAACATCGTAAATTGCGTCGGAATTACACAGATCGGCGTCTTGGCGCCGATCGCCTGCTCCAATGTTGGGTAGCACAAATAATTGACAAGAGCATTTATCCAGGTCGACTTGCCGACTCCCTTTTGACCGAGAACCAGAATCTTGATTTGCTTTCGCGTGGTCGAGCCGAAGGTTTGGTCCGAATGCTCTCTCTGGACCCAGTTGATCTTTGCTTTTTTCACTGGAGCACGAATCGTTTCACGGGAAATCTCTGCTAAGGGCTCAGGGTCGGGAGAAGCGGGACTCACCACGTTCAACAAATCCACCCGATTTTAAATGGTCCGATTCGTTTGGATTTCGTGTTTCAGTGCATTTTCTTGTTTCTTTTTGATTCATTTGTCGTTCTGAGGAAGAAATTGTGTCGTTAGCCCGATCATTTTGTTTTTCCGCTCTCTTTTCGGATTGTTCAGACTGATAGTCACGGTCAAAATTTGATGTCTGATGTTTTGCTTTCGAATCGTTTTCTTTTTTTGCTTGGTGCAAGGGTTCACTTTCGGAAGTTTGTCGGCTGAAGGGAGTTAACGGTCGAGTTTCATAGGGCTTTTCAAAGGCCTCCGATTGACTCAGCAGAGCACCTATAAGTGAAGCTTCTTTCAATTTTGAAATCTTCAGCCTATAGTTAGCGAGTGTGATCTTCTCGTGTTGGTCGATCTTTTCATCCAAATCTTCGAGTAATTTCTGTTGTTGTTCACATCTGACAAGCTGCTGAAGTTTTTCAATTTCAGAGCGATCACCGCCCGTTTTCATTGTTTTCTCCAATTGTTTGATCGAGAAAAGGAGGTACTCTTCAAAAGCAGCGTTTGTTGAGAGAATCGAATTCTCCTTGAGAAATTCCAAGTACACTCTAGCAGTTCGCTGCGTTTTTTCATGAGTTTCTTTCAAACTGATCACCTCTTGCTCACTTGTTTTTAAGGAAACAGTCTTTGCTTGGATTTGCAGCTGAAGAGAGTTCTTCGCTTTTTCCTTTTCTTCATCCCTTATTTCGAATTCTCCATTCTTTTTCGTTTGTTTTTGCAAAATTAGCATGTGCGTCTGCCACGAACACTCACAGTTGTTGCAAATGCTGTCGCTCGTAAATATTGAAAGGTTACGCAAACTGGCCTCACCCGTTTGATTTGGTGGAACGTTTTCCAGCTCGCAACTTTCCAGACACACTTTCTTGTAGGTTCTTTTCGGCTGGTTTGTTTTTGGATCCATCACCATTTCGATGCAATTCGGTCCACAACACACCACATTTGGCGTGGTGATGGGCCTTTCCTCCAGGTATTCTCCATGAAAAACCACCATTTTGCTCGCCTCCGCCAGTTCTCCTTCTAGACATCGAAGCTTCACCTTTTGCTGTTCAAGTGCTTTTTGCTTTTGTTTCATCTGCTCGTTCACATTAGCTGCAAGTGAGCAAAGCTCTCGAAAAAACTCGCGAACAATTGCACAAACCTTGCTCTCATTTGCCCAGTGGTGATCCAAATCGGTGATGCAATCGAACAGGCGATATGTCTCACTCACTGTATGATCCCATGAAGCCGAGAAAATTTTCGTGTACCCCTCGTCGAATTCGAATCCATTGTGGTGAGCGTAGATCATTCTCACCGCCTCATTGTCGACACAGAAAGTGTTCTCGTTTGTGAGCGAGAGCTGCGTTTGACTCAAACGGTTCACATCGTCAAAGCACGTCTTCAACACGGTTCTCGTGTCTCCCGGCTTGTAATTTGTTTCACTTGTGTTTGTGAAAACAACGAAAAGATTTGGAATCGAGTTCCGATGCAAATTTGACAACAACTCGTGCATGCAGTAACGAAGCGAGAGCACGAGTCTCGATTCGTTCGGCTTCAATAGCAGGCAAATGCCGTGAATTCTATCAAATTGAGCAACGGATTTCATGATCATTCGCATGTTTTCCATGTCATAAACCACGCCGCGAGTGTCGCCGATCCCGGGCGTGTCGATGACGTTGAAAGCTACCGAATCAGTAACAAAACGATAGACTTTCGGCGATTGTGTGCACGATTGACCGGCACTGGACGCCACCTCAGTCTCCTCGCTTTCGATGTCGGCTGCCCTGGAGACTTTGGTAGGGGGACCGATGTGCAGAGTGAATTCTATCGGAATCAGGCATATCGGTTCCTGCTCACCAAGTGCATCGACTAGCGACTCAAACTTAATGTAGTTACCGATTCCGTTGATCCACGTCGATTTCCCGACCCCCGTCGCACCAAGCACCAAGATGTTTCGCTCTTTTCGACACGCCGGCGCTTCTGCTCGGTCGAAACTGCGGAAGGGATTTAATAAAGTCGTTGGTGTTTCTTGTTCCTCTTCTTTGACCTCGACGCCACTCTAAAAAGGACTAGTTTGGAAAAAAATAGCAAAATTTTTCTGGGTCAGAAGTGGTGCAAATAAGAAAACAGTTTCCTCTTAGCAATGTACCACTTGTAACCCAAAAAAAAAATGGCTTCAGGCCTGAACAAGGGATGAGCAGATCCTGATTTCCGGATCCGGGTAAGACCCCCGGAAAAAAGGCCGGGCTGCCCTGATCCGGATCTGGACTACCTGCTCACCTCTGGTCTGAATCGAATCCAAAGGTAGACCGGCCCCTTCCCCGCCCATAGTGCCTGACTACCTAGTTTACTGCAGGCTTTACTTTTTCGGGTCTTTCAAAAACTTTTTAAAGCATAGCACGAAGTATTCTTAACTTATCAACTTATTCTTTCTTTTTGCATTTAAGCATGTTTAAAGTTATAAATAAAAAGTTCGTAAGTGCAACCCACTGTGGTTGCCTTCCCGAGATCCTTTTTCTCTTCGCCTCGTAGCCTTTCCATTTTTTGCTTTCGCGCCTTCATTGAAACACCCTTCCATTTTGCTGATTCTTTCAACTCCTTAGCCCTTTTCAGCAACTCTTTTTGCTCCTCTTTTGAAGCCAATTGCACTAAAAGTTTTCTTGGGGTTTCCTGGTAGTGAGAGAGCTCGAGCTTCCCGATCCGACGGATATCCGAAATGTGAAAGCGATCGATAAGTGACTGAAAAATCTTCTCAACCGTTTGCCAATCTTTCACCAGTTGCTCTGCTGATTTGCCGGATTGCTCGGGCAAATTGGAGATCACTATTTGGGAGTTTGCATCGGGCGCCTCTGTGGACTCTTCGGTGTTGCGTGTAGAAGAGGATAGTGTGTCCGTATGAGTGTTGGCACTCTAAAACAGGAAAGTATTTACAACAAGTATGTCATAGCCGCTGCCTACGAGTTTTTTAAAAGTCAGAGATTTTGGACAGCCTAACCATATGAGTATTTAGTATCATCCGATGCAAAATCATCGATAATTATGATCAATTTTTTGATCCAGCCTGAAATATAGGGAATTTCTAGGGCGGGTTGAGACTCCCAGAATTCATTTGTGCCTAAATTGTTCACTGAATATCTTTCAAAATACTGCCAAATTGAAATACATTCAATAAATAGGCCAACTTCAACGATATTGAATATCTTTCAATTTAACAGTATTTTGAGAGATATTCAGTGAACAATTTGGGTGCAAATTAACTTTGCGCAACTGAAGCCATCCCTGAATTTCCTTATTTTGACTCTAACTTTTTGGTTTCTTATCGAATCGGGCTAAATCAAAAAGTTTAACTCAATTATCGATGATTCTGCGTAGAATGGTACTCAATACTCTAATGGTTAGACTGTCCAAAATATCTGACTCGTAATCAGCTACGAAGGGTTTGTCTAGCCGATTACGAATAAAACGTTGTGGTTACAGCCCATTAAAAAGTCGATCTAACTAGCCGATTGCCATTTAAATGCTCACACATTTTTGGTACTATTTGACGAAGAACTAAATTCCCTACAAAATTATATAGTATAATCCATATTTATAAAAGGTTTTTGATAGGGAATGCAGTTCTGAAAATCTGACTTGTAATCGGCTACGACAGATGTAAACCAGTTGAGAAACATTAGGTTTTCTTTTTTGGATCTATCGTCTTTTGGCCAGCAACTTTCCAAAATGCTTACCGACGTTTGTTGTTCGAAGAACTGCTTGAATTTTTCGAATTGTGCCGAACCGAGGCCAAGATTTTGATTCATTCTGAAACACCTACAGTTAGGAAATCAAATTCAGAGAAATTAAGCTAAAATTACTGGTGATTCGGCCTTTTGCAAAGTTGAAACATTTAACATTGCGAATTTCTTGCATGTATTGAGTAAAGACAATTTTCGAAAAGACAGCCTATTGCATAAAACTACAATTTTTTTGAATTTTCAATTTTTCGTATCATTAACTGAGTCTGACGAATTCTCATTTAAACAACGACAAAACTGCCTGGTATTTTGAACCAAAAAAGGCACTTTGATTTCAATAGTTCACATACTTACCTTGTCTAAGTGTTTTCCTCAAAAAATGCATTAATCGACACAAGATTGTTTAAGAAGCAAATTTAAAGAAATGAAGGCAAAGTGAACCCTCGAAAAGATTTGAAATGTGTCTCTTATCAGAAAAGTCATTGTGTGTAGCAAGAAAATTCATCCTTTAATTTGTGCTGCAATAAAAAAAAAGATTTTTAATTTTTTGGAAGATTTTTGCACAAAATATGGTTTCCAAAGCAGAAATTGCATTAAAAAGGTTTTTTGATTTCTCATTGGGTGACTGTGACTCGTCGCGTTTCCCGTTGACGACTTTTCCGATCCAGCAGAATGATTGTAGAAGAAAATCGGAAGCTTGCTTGTTAATCCAGTAAGATGTTAACAATGTAAAGTTTTAGAAAACAAATCATGCTTGTCAAGTTTTTAGTATGCTCACCCGACGACAATCGATATTACTTGATAGCGCACAGTGGCAAAGAGGAAACTCGAAATGCTCGCAGAAACAAATAGACTCAAAGTAGTAGACACGGAAACATGCTTGAAACAGTCTAGAAATTCTAAATTTTTTTCCGGTCTAGAATAAATCGAAATCATGAAATGATTTTGATATATTTGATATATTTGATAACTCCAAAAGTTTCAAATTTTTTTTGCTAGTACCTAATATTCAGTCAAGAATGGATATTTAATGAACGCAAAATTTTGCATGTAAATTTAAATGCAAATTGGGGGGCTACTATTACAGGAAATATCCTTGTCAGAAAGCTTTAGATTTTCCTATACAAAATTATACAATCTTGCTGCTGGATCGGAAAAGCCGTCAACGGGAAACGCGATGAGTCACAGTCACCCAATGAGCCGATATAGATTTCGAATATTCTTTAATTGAATACCTTAATGTCCAAAAAAATGAAAACTCGGTTTGCTTAATGATCAAAACGTCTACAATGAAAAAATCATTACCTCCTGCAAAGAAATCAAAAAACCTTTTAATGCAATTTCCGCTTTGGAAACCATATTTTGTGCAAAACATTTGTGCTTTCATTTGTTTTCATTCGATTCAGCGATTAGAGAACATTTTCTTCTTCAATAATTTGGAATGGCTATTTAGTAACGTTACTATTCTTAACATAACTATGTATTAACATAGCAACAAAGCAACTATCAGCATGTATTTAGTAAAATTAAAACATAAAATTGCTCAAATACTCTAGAATATTCATTTAGGATTCATTTGATTGGCGTGATACAGGTGCGGTGAATGATGTGAGAGATCAAGGCGATTGCAATTCGTGTTGGATATTTGCGGAAGAATTCAATTCTTTATTTGTATTTTCATATATATTTGAATTCATATATATATATATATGTTATGTCCGATTTAGACTCAGCTGTTGTTTTATGTTTTACAGAAGTTTTCAGAATTTTTTGATCGGTTGTGAATTGCAAACAAGTTTATTTTTAGAACAAACAACATTTATTATTATTATTTTATTATTTTTTCCGTTATTATTTTTTCTTTTAGTTATGTTTCCTCCTTGGTACGTTTTTTTTTTTCTGAAATATTTCATTGTTTTTTTTCAGGTAAAGGATTGGCTCGATAACTTGTGATGTGCGTGCTCGACACAACAAATGAGTCAGGTACACACGATGGAGAAAGCGATGAGCGCGAGGAAAAAGTGATAAGCGAGTTGCTCGGCATAACATTAGATTCAGGTATACTTTATTGCTTTGTTATTGTTAATAGATTTTTTTAATTACATGGTACTTGGTTTTTTCTTTAAGTTAAGTTCTTAAATTGCATACTTGGTAAAAGTTGTATATTGTGTATTTCCAGAGACGAGAGCTATGTTTGATGCGAAATTCCGGCGCTATCTAGCTAAGAAAAAAAACTGGTCAAATTCCGACAAAGGAGATCTACAACTTGATGGTGGATCGCATCAAAAAACATGGAAACCAAGAAGAGGTGAAAGCGACCGATGGAGTGAACCGTCACCACGAAGCAAATCTGTTGAAGCGATATATCGTATCAATTGAGAGTGGAAAATCAGTTCTATATCACGAAGGTGAACAAACAGCAAAGCGCAAAACAGAAGTGAAGCCACAAAAAGGCGTCAATCAAGAAGAACTTTATGAAATCCTTCACCAAACACACCGAAGCCTCGGTCATGCTGACATTGGATTGATGTGGCAACATCTTAGGATTTACTACGGGATATCAAAGTTCGCTTTTGAAACATTGCACAAAAAATTCAGTTTTTTTAGGCAAATCGTTGAAATATATGTGAAATTATGTGAAGAATGTGAACTTAGGCGACGAAATCCCAAAAAATCTGTGGTGGTTAAACCAATTGTGACCGAGCGACAGAATGAACGATGTCAAGTCGATCTCATTGATTTGCAGTCGACACCAGACGGCGAATTCAAATTCATTTTAAATTATCAGGTTGATTCTTTAAATCTTATCCTTTTGTTAATATTAATATTTTCAGGATCATTTAACCAAATTTGTGACACTCCGTCCATTAAAAACCAAGACCGCCAAAGAGGTTGTGGAAAATTTATCACTTATTTTTGGAATATTTGGTCCCCCGAAAATTCTACATTCAGGTTTTGTAAGTTAGTTATTTTAAAATTTTCCTTTTTTAGATAATGGTCGTGAATTTGTAAACAAATTGGTCGAAGAGTTCATCAAGTTTTGGCCTGATTGTAAAATGGTCCACGGACTTCCTCGTCACTCACAGAGCCAAGGAAGTGTCGAAAGAGCAAACGCAGATATTGAGGTAGGTTTTTCTTGTTTTATTTAAATGTATTTTCTAATGGGTTCGTTTCACATTCAGGATATTCTGTGTACGTTCCACCGTGACCAGAAGACTTGAAAATGGGCTGAATTCTTACCCGTGATTCAGTTGATGAAAAACCGCCGATATCATCATGGAATTAAACGGACTCCGTTTGCTGCAATGTTCGGGAACGACTATAGGAATTTGGATATTATGTGTGAGAAGTTTGTTGAAATTCGTTTGTTCGGAAAATTTTTTTCTCTAGTAATGTTGAGGCTTCTAACCGCTGTTTAATTCAAAAGAAATCAGATGTTGTATTTTTTTTTGCAATTTGTAGAATTTTGTTTAAGATTCCTGAAGATGAAACAATCACAATTGACATGTCCTTGGATAACGATCGTGATGCAGAAACATGTACATTTTTCAAATAAGGCTTTTTCCTAGTTCATATAAAAAACTTTTTTTTAGACGATGTCTGTGCGTTAGATAAGCTCGAAGACTCTATAGTCAAAGAAAGAGTCGAAGCGCATGCTGCACAAAAACAACAGGCAAAGAAAATGCTGGAATCATCAGAACAAAGGTTTGTTGTTGATTTTTCTTAAAGATTTCAAGGTACCTTTTTGAATACCCACGTATGTGTTGTAAGTTATTTGTTCAGATTTGCACCTTTGCACATTGGGAGCAATGTGCGGATTGGAATTGACCCTGTTGATCGACCAAAGATTGGACATCAAAACCTAATGGGTGTTGTCATCGCCGAGGAGAATGGTTTTTACACAATTGGAACTTCAGATGGAACTTTGAACCACAAATTTTTGTGGTTTACTTTTGATTATAAGCTCTTAATTTTGGAGGTGATATTTAGAAATCAACTACATCCTTGTGAAACTACGTTTGTTACATTGGAATCGATCCCTAGCACGATCACTTCCTTCCTAGCAGCCATTGGTGAAGCATCAGTTCATGGAAAAAAAGGTATTGTTTTTGTGCTTGTTTATACTAATTTTTGTTTGTTTAGGACACAAACGTTGTCTATGTACCGGAGGATGCTCAACAAATCGATGTGCCTGCAACAAAAATGGTATTCTTTGCAACTCCCGATGTCACCACAGTCTAACTTGTAAAAATAAATAATGATTATATTGATTTGTTAATTTTCCCCTGTTGCAGTCTAATTTAAGTTGATATGTATTGTTCAATTTTGTTGTTTTGGCATCTTTTGTTGTTTGTTCTAAAAATAAACTTGTTTGCAATTCACAACCGATCAAAAAATTCTGAAAACTTCTGTAAAACATAAAACAACAGCTGAGTCTAAATCGGACGTAACATATATATATATATATATTGCGTCTGTTCTTCTCTTCCAATCGTCTCACATTTCATAAATTAGTCTAGATCTATGCTAAAGATATGTTGGGTCCGTTTACGAACTAACGTTCAGATCGGATCCGGACCTTCGTTTACGAACTTAAGAGTTTAGTTCGTAAATGAACGCTACGTTATTTACGTTAGGACGATCTAAATGTTAGTTTGTAAACGGAGGTAACATATCTTTAGCATAGATCTAGACTAATTCATGAAAGGTGAGACGATTAGAAGAGAAGAACAAAAACTTGAAGAGTCACAACGTGTGCCTTTCGATAGCTAACCAAAAGACCTCTAGTCAACGATCGTCTCTTTTCCATTCTTTTCCCAATTCGTACTTTTCCTCGAAATGGCCGTCGATAACGTGCCCGACCGGACTGACGATGAGACTAATGGTTGCTTACTTTCTTCAAACACCATCGCTCTCCATTCATTACTAGAAATTCGTTAAAGTATTAAGATTCTCCGCTTACCTAACCGCAATTAAAAAATAGAGAGGAAAGAAGCAGTTGAAATCGCCAAAAATCGGTCCCACCTCAACAATCCAATATTGCAAATTAGACTGAGGTAGATAGGAGGCAAGGAACTAAATGACTTATATAGTTACCTTTGTGTATGACGGGTCCTTTCGAAATTCTGAATTTGACAAAGACTAGTTTTATCGGATAAGGGCTAAAACTAGAAGGTATTGGAACTTATACATTATTCTAGATTTAATACATCGGCCGTTGAGATCGAGCCCTTTCAGCGGAGTACGGAAACTCTAGAAAGATCTTATTTTTGTCTTACCTGTGTGCCCACAGCCATGACTTGCGTCAAGAACATGATCAACGACATTGCATAGAAACGAATCTCAGTTTTTCGCGTTTTGCTAGACGGAGTTTTTACGTATGTTGTAGAAATCTCCCCACTTGTTCATTCGACTGAAATGTCGCCAAAGAGCGATCCCTGTTGCTGTATTCACAACGAAGGCCAAAACGACAAATATCATAACAAGAATCATAATTTGCAGACTATAGGCACTCTGAATTCAATTTTTTAATATTCTCATAAATTACCCGATATTTAACAATATATTAATATTATTTTGATCTTCAGAGAACCCCTGGCAAATATAAGAGCATCACGGGAAGTGCTTCTTCTTCAATTTAAAAGATTTAACTCACATCATTTGCCCCGTGCAGATAAAAGGCCGCATTGGAGAACTGGACGAAAATTGGCTGATCCCACCAAACTCTTGCCCAATAAATTGATGGAGTGACATACATGAGGACCAACAATGGGTACTTTACTCGATCCCACCACTAAACACTTCTTGCTTCAGTTTGGCTAAAGAGTTTACATCTTCTCCATTGGCCGGATATAGGATGCATGTCAGACGATTCAAGGCAACCACAAAACAGGCGAATGACTGGCTCGTTTTTGATTGCTTTTGTAGATGGTAGAAAAGTCTCGGAAAGAAACCTAGAGACGGATTTGATTTCAAAAAGCAATTCAGACGCTTTTGTATAAAGCACAGAAAATGGTTAGTGTCCATCTCCGAATGGCCTTCTCATACCTGTTTGGACACTCTCGAACCACCCCCAAATTCCCCATGATGGCAATCGGTAGGCGAAAAGTTGAACTATCGATAATTCGACATCCTAGAATTTATATTCCAGATTCATGCCTAGCTTTTTTCCTGTAATTTTATATTTCCGATCTCGTCCGTACAGCACCATATTTTTTTCGGATTTCTTTTTTTCGGGATAATGGGGAATACTCGTTACAACAAGACAGCATATTTCAACCCACACAAATATATCATAAAATATCAGAATCAATTTACAGGTACAATACCTATTTCCGCCTCCGATTTTCTCCCCAATCAATTACTTAACCCCAAGGGACGACTTCGGCCTAAAAAGCGCTCAATTTGGCTTTTTTGGCAGTCACAAAATCTTCTTTGCAAAAATGACTTTGAAAATGAACGAACATTTACAAAGTAGACGTAAAAGATGAGTTGAAAAGCCGACTTAAAACCCTTTTGTGCATAGAATCGAGAGATTTTGAAGAACATCCAAAAAGTTGGGATATAAGTAATGATGAGAAGAGATGATGAGCAAATCTCGAATGGATCGACAAAGTCCGGAATGAAAAACCCATCGTAGTCATAATCAGAGGTATTTGTGGAAGACATTGTCTGAATTAGAAACACTTTTTGCTTGATCGCGAAATTTGCGGTTTATCAATTGAATAAGTCTAAACCCTAAGAAATGCAGGTTTTGAAGTCTTGCAAGAAACAAATGATTGTTGTTAATCGCTCTATTTTTTTGATAACAATAATTTGAGTAATCGAAAGTGATCAATATGAGTAACCAATCTTACTAAAATGTGTTTTTTTCATTACTGAAAGATTCTTTTGAACTTTGAACCCTTTTGTCTGTGTCAAAGCCGTTTTTTAACCTTAAAGGCTATAGTTTAACATGGAATGAAAGAGTAAACTCTAACTCAACTCTAAATTCATCAAAAAGACAAATCATTCAATTTCTCTCAACCATTTTGCTAACAATCTCAAACGTTTTTTGATAAAAGAACAGAGTCAAAATGTTGCTTGGTTGAGGAGATTAGTTGGAACTTTTTAGGTCTCTAACAGATAAAGCAGAAAATAGCACAACAAAGTCATTTACAAGTTTCGAGGAGAGAACTCGAAAATTCAGCTAAACTGATTAGTTTAGCTTGGAGAGATATTCTGTTCTTTTCATCAAATAATAAGGGGCGTGTTAATTTGTAAATGGGAGTTTGTGCGAATTTTTCCTTTATTATTTACAAGAATCAAATGCATTGTTCAACAGTAATCACCGGTCCGAACCGATCATACGTATGCAGTTCCAAAGAGATAATTTTTCAGAGATCCCAAATGCGAACAAAAATAAAGATGAAATTGAATAAATTGTAAAAATAATAAAAATTAATTTTTTCAGGCTGGTAAGCTGGAAATTTTTTGAAACACACATTTACCAACTTTTTGCTGATTGAATTTTTGAAATTAACAGGCCTGAAATGAACTTCTTAGATTCAAACATTTTATATTCTCACGTCGGAGTTTTACTAAATCTTGATATGGAATGATATGATATTGTCTGGAATAATAGGAATGTTATGATATGCTTTCGAATTATTTCTTATGAAAATCATGAATTTGCGGGCCTTTTTGTGATATGAGTTCCATCTTTATCACATCTTTTTCACATGTGTATCATGAATATCCTAATTGTGTTATTTGTTAAGATCATATCCTTCCAAACATTGTGATATATGCGATATATGTGAAACAACTCAATGATTCTATTCACATTCATTACAGGTTCACAAAAAGAAAGAAACCAAAGGAAGAGATGATAGTGAGACGTTTCATCAGAAATTTCCTTGCTTTTGTGTTCTTTTCCAAGCAAGAATTATAAACAAGTAAATTTGATACAACACTAATTTTGCTCTTAATTCAACATCAACATCAACTCATGTTATTCCGTATGTTTTTGCAATTTTTTCGTGAGATTATTTTCGATGAGAAAGTGATAAAGAGAGACGTTTTAAAAAGTCAAGAAAATTAAGGCTAAACCACTTGCTATTGACGTACAAAATCAAATTCAGTACAAGGTGGAGGAACATAAATAGAAAGAATGAGAGAAAACGAGGAGGAGAGAACCTTTGTGTTTGCCTAACTCCCCCTCTCCTCCTTTTTCCTCAATTTAGTTGTTTTGATGCTCTCAAACTCAAATCGAGCCAGCACTTTCACATCTCATTCAAGCATTCTATTTGGCATGAGTCGTTTGATCCTTTGTCTTCTGTTAGTGGCAATGTTTGGCGTGTGGTCCGATGCTTGTGAGTTCAGTTGGCTTTACTCTTCACATTTGGTGCCTCTATCGTAGACATTTATGCTCCTAAAACTGTCATGAATACATGTTAATTAATAACATCAAAAAATTAGCATAATTCACTAGAAAGACTATAGACCGCAAAGTTGGTCAATTTATACGGAATGCAATTATTTGCAAGAATGAAATCAGCAATCATTATTGAATGGTTGACAATATTTCGTTTAGGGGCACTGAGAAATGGTCTACTATATGGCACATGGTGGGGTCCGATTGGAGGCTATGGGATGGGTGCGGTGGGAGTCGGATGGGGACGATATCCGGGATTTGGTGGAATTTTGGGGAAGTAGACGATTCTCTTTCTGATTTTCGTAGTCAACACCCAAAGATCTCTTCGATTTCTTCAAAAAATCGCCTCAATCGCCACAAAAAACGATTTCATGAATTGTTCATTTTTCAATTTTCAACTGGTGTGCATATTAATAATCATTAAAAAAAATGCATGTTACTATTATTACATATTACATCTCTTAAGGATTTAAAATTTTAGCATTTAATTATTTCAATTAATTTTGAAATAATACCAGAATAGAGCAGAGCCGGCATACAACTATTCGACAAAAACCTATATGGGAAATGGGAATTTCGCCGAAAAGTGTAAAATTAATCAATCGGATTTGACTGCGAAGATAATACAGAGGCAGAAAAAAAAATCAATAAATGTAATCACAAAAGAGAATTTCTGGCCTTATCTGGTGATAAAAAGTCTCAAGAACCTGGGTATTCATTATTCCAAGTGATAAACTTATCATTCAAAATCTATTGCTCTCTCAACTCGGATTCTCAAAAAGCTAGTAGACGAAAAAACCCATTTTTGTGACGTTCTCTTTTATAAGAGTACAAGAGCTTCTCTCACAATCAATCACCCTCTCAACTCTTTTTGTTTTCCCGGTGGTGAAACTCCCACCTGACGCTTATCCAAGATTTATTGACCTTTGACTCAATGCCAATTAACGCGATCTCCTGCTAGTTCAAATCCAAATTCCATACTAGTCATGAAATTTTTGATATTTTGCTCCTCGAATTCCAAATTTTAAATTTCTGAATTTTTTTCTTTTCCATCTTAGCCAAACTTCGGTGAGTGCAATTCAAAATGTTCATATTCTGCTGAAACTCAATTAATTTCCCAGTTTTTTATGTCAAATGGCCCAGAAAAACTTTTGATAACGCCCGATAGGCTGATAAAAACGAAAGTCCAGATTCAAACACGTTCAATTAACAGATTTATCTCCATGCTAACAGTTAAAAAATGAAATTTAACTCAAGTCGTTTAAGTAATGGAGAGAGCTGAAGAAGAGGACGAGGAGGAGGAACAATTTATGATAATCGTGGCGATCTCTGTCTCACTTTTGCTAATCTTTGGTTCGATTATCACTTATTTTTGTGTTAGATCCGGAATGCGAACGGAGAGATTGAGGTGGGATGAAAGAAAAAAAAGAGGTGGTCCAACTTTTATCATTATTTAGGGTACAAGAGGGAGAGAGTGTGGCCATGGAATCGATCGAACTCAATGCAAATAACTGAGGTGAAACTCTTGGAAGAGGTTTCTGCAATCGATTCATAAACATTCCTGAATGAGATCGCCCCATAAATACTATCAACTCGATTCAAAATTGAATTGGCTATAGCTATATTATTTTGAATCGGAATTTTCGATTAAAAATGTAAATGATTTAACTTTATCTTTGTCATTGTTGCGTTACTTGAAATCAATTCATTTTTTAGAGTTTTCGATTTAAAAATTTTCACGGATTTCACCGATAAAACCTAGTTTGAATTAATTCTCCGAAAACTCTGAAAAATAGATTTTATGATCTAGATTTCAAGAGCCATTGGTTCTTGTTCTTCAAACAAATTTTAAAAAGCATTGGACTTACATTCGATAATCAAAATTATTTTCAAACCTCTTTCTCGATCTTTGAGGGTTTTCCCAATCCCATCGAATACGCTTGTGATTCGTACATTCAAATTGTTATCTAGGCTTATTTCTGACTGATTGGACCAGATGGAAAAACGACTTTGCCCCAAAATTTTTTTTTGCAAAAAACATTCTTTGCTATTCAAAAGCGGTAAAAACTTCTTTCTTCGGTTGACGACGAAAGGAAAACTTTGATAAAAATATGATCTTCTCTTGTACATGATCTAGTTCCTATGGATGCGAAATGCTTTCGCTAGAAACTCATCGGGTTTTGTCATCAGAGCGAGTTTAACACAAGGCCAATCGGACCAACATGTTCCTATGAATCGTTTATCACGAGCACACCGACTGTATAGAGATCAATTTGAGCTAAATGTTTTTTCTTCTAGTTGATCTCGGCTTTTGTATTTGCTGTCATTCAATTGTAATCATCGTGTTTGTTATTTCAAAGAAGCAAAAGTATTTGACCAGATTGAGCACATTTGGGGAATAAAATTGGCATGAGGTTGTTAATCGATAAACGCTTGAAAAACACGCACTGGAAACACGGAAGCACTATTTACATCAAGAAGAAGTCGCACATTTTATAAAGATTTGGCAATAGGCTATCGTTTGAATCTATTTTAATAACGCGAGTTATCTCCATTGAAACAAGCGCACTTGTGTTCCAGCCATCCAACACATTTGCCCCAATTACAATTGAAAATCGAGCGACACGCGTAGTTGCATTTCTCACTGTCGTGCGCGAAAAGCTCACAGCCGTAGCCTGAGAAGTATTTTGGAGTATATCGCGCTACAAAGCCTAAATAAACCAATCAGGGAGCACGACCGAGATGATGGTATTTTTAAAATAGAACTTTTTACATCTTTACAAATCAATTATAATAGAAATATAATACGCTTTTTGAATCACGAGTTATTGAATTCTGTGAACAGAAAACATTGGAATCAATTTGTTGATGATCTAAAGGAAGTCAAATATCGTTTGAACAAAATTAATCCGGTCGGTTCGTTTGTGATAACATATAGCCAATACATATTTCCACAAATATTCAGTATCTTAAAACATATGAAAAATCGGACCTTTTTTCAAACGCAAACTTAAATCTCATTAGTCTTACTCCTATTAGTGCACTCCTTTACCGGCTTACTAGCAAGGTTCAGTTGTATCCAAAAGTGATTCCCAAAATTTGAATTGGTCTACCCTCAACAAACAATTATACCTTAGGTTACAGCTTGGCACCATTTACCGTATTTATTCTATTAGTGGGGTCCCCCACTATTTTTTCAATCCCCTTCCAGACGACCCCACTATTAGAGAGGACCCCACTATTAGAGAAATTTAAAAGAACATGAAACCAAAGTTTTAAATTGAAAAGATATCAATTTTTCTCCGAAATTCTTGACAAAACAAGTTTGGCTTCATATTTTATTTAGCTTTAACCGTAACAAAACATTAACAAACAGTAAAAGAACTAATCCAAGAGATCAACAATTGATGTATCACTTTCGTTACCAATATCTTCTTCCAATTCGATTGATGAAAGGTGATTGTTGATTCCGGAGATGGCGCGTTCAATTCGAGCATCGGCGAGTTGTTTGGCTCCTTCGGGGATTGGACCATCCTTCTTGAAGCAATGGATGAGCCTAAATTTGAACATTAGGTAACAAGGAAGGTTAATAACAAAAAAAAATAGTAACTACTAACCCGTCCTCCGATCCATCAGTGCTTGTGGTGATTGCGCAGGTCTTGAACGAATGTATGATGAGATTCTTCGGACGTTCATTCCAGGCTATCCACACCCATTCCAAGTATGTTTCCATTGGTGGTAGGGCTGGGTTTCCGTTTTTGTTCAAAGGCCTCTGTCCGAATACCATCCAATCTTCGTAGAGGCTGCGAATCCTCGCCTTGAAAGGCGCATTCCACACAACATCTGGCGCTTGAATGTATTTCGTGCATCCGCCAGGCACCAAAATCGAATCGACTTTTAGCTCTCTAAGTTTCTCATTGGTGGCCGCACTTTTGTGGGTGGAGAAACTGTCCCAAACGATCAATCGCTTTCCAAAAGACAAAGATCCAAGAGTTTTTTGTAAGTAAATTGCAATCGATTCATCATTCATCCAAGTAGTTCCTCCCCAGTGAAGTTTTCCGGAAAACTTAGAAACAATTTTTAGATCGGGGCGAACTCGATTTAAAAGTACAAAAGGTTTGCATTTGACTCCATCGTCCCTTGCTGTTAACATCACACTGATCCGCATTTTGTCGTGCCCAGTCGAAAGTACTGCAACGTCTTTAGATCCTCTATCCGCAATCGTCAGAGAGTTTGATTGATCGAGCTAGATACCTGTTTCATCGCAAGCAAATATCGATATGTAGTTGTTCTCCTTTCTCAGCTTTTCCAAATAGAGAATGTAGTCGACGATCCTAGCGATGTATTCCTTTGGAACTTTCTGACAGATGGTTGTTGGTCGGCGCGTTGAAAGTCCATGTCGCTCGAGAAACTTTTGCAGCCAACCATTGGAAGCCTTGAAATCCCCATCGTCGGTCCATATCAAAAGAGCTTGTCTTTGAAGCATCTGTCGGGTCACTCGCAACTTCTGCTCTCGCTTTTCGCGAAACCAAGCCACTAGATCTCGATCAAAATCCGCATCCTTCAACTTGCGACCACCTCCTTGAATCCTCTTCATCGTCTTTCCGTTCTCTTTCTGTTGCTTCTCCAGTTATTCCTTGTGGTTGCACCATTTTTGAATCACGCTTTGCTTGACGCCATATTTTTTTGCAGTTCCCCGTTTGTTCATCGTCTTCTCTGCTTCCGCAATCGCCCTGAGCTTTGTCGAAACGTCGAAGACCCTTCTCTTTTTTGAAATCAGTTCTTCAGAATCGCTCGAAGAAGACATCGCGCCTAAAAAATCAAAATTAACTAAGAAACGTAACTAAGTGACAAAACATAAAAATACGACAAATAAAGTTTCTTTAAGCAACAATCGATTTTTAAATTATGCTTGAAAAACATTTTTTCCAGAGACAACAATGGCCTAAGGAGGTATACGGTAGCGTTTTATGGAGCGCGCACTTTAGAAAACTGATTTTCACTAATCGATTCCACTGTTTTTTTTTCAACCCCCCTCCAAACGACCCCACTATTAGAGAGGACCCCACTATTTTTTCAACCCCCCTCCAGACGACCCCACTATTAGAGAGGACCCCACTAATAGAGTAAATACGGTACTATCTGAAACGCAGTAGAGCAGCCAAGAAAGAATCTCATTGTCGTGTCAAAATGAAAGTACTTATTGTTCCTCTGTTCATCTCTTTTATATTGGCGAACCTCATTCACCATTTCGCACTTCACGATTTGTCTCGTTGAACGGATCAACTGAACGTCCTTTCATTCATCTATGCATATCGGAGATCTTTGCTTACACTTTCTGAGCTGATGTTCCTATTCAGCATTCAGAAGTTTCATTTTTGATTGCACTAATCCCAAAATTCAATGCAGCTCACCACGTTTGAAAAGATCATTTGAAAAATAAATGAACCAAACTCGACTTGGCAGATCACCGCAAAAAGCGAACTCGACCAAAAATTTTGTTGGTGCAAATTTGCCATTTTTTGCAAAATTTTGTTTGTGCATTTTGTGACAAACGGTGCAAAATTGCCATTTTGCACGAAAATTTTGCTTTGTCAATCAACTTATATCTTTCGAATTGTTGTCGTGATCGACAAACGACGGCATTTCTCACAAATACAAATTCTCTAAACTGTTAACTAATTATTGTGTGAACCTCGCTATAAATCAAATTTTCTAAAGAAAAGTTTTCTTAATTGTCATAAAAATAGGACTCGATGTTATCAATACTCCGACAATATTCTGATCTGATAAAAATCACAACGTTAACGCTGGGCTTATTTGGTGAATGTTTTATCGATCTTAAGTCTTTTCATTTCATTTTGTAGTTAATTAAAGTGCAAATCAAATGTGAACATAACAAATGTGAATAGCAAAGTTTTAAGCTTTGTATGCTCTTGCGAAATGGATCTACCTACAAACGTGGATTCTTGTCAATCCTCGACTCGACATCGATGTGTATCTCGGCATCGAAATTCAGGATGCATTCATAACGGCGATGGAATATGTAAGAGTTTAAAAGTTTGGCCAGCGTGGAGTCATATTCTAGATAGAAAATGATTTTTTTCAAACTAAACCTATAGAATAATAACAAATCAATGCTTGTGTAGATGATTTACCTGAGCATTCTCACCACGCTACTGGCCGCTTTCTTCTCGGCGATCAATGATCGTTTGTCGATGCCGATTCGGTTAGACTCTTTCACTTTTAACGTAGCATCTATCATTTTTTCACTTTGTCGAATTTTAATGATATGACAAAATCAAATCCTAGCTTATTGGCCACAGCCGAGAGTTTGAACCGATTCATTTATGCTGTTTGTTATGCGTCACGGGGATTTTGTTATGCTAATGAAATTGGGTAAATGATTTCATACTTAAAAACAAAAGTCTTTTCAGTTTACCCAACTGGTTTTGCAGTCCGATCTTGGCCACATACGACTACATTTCAACGGATATTGTCAGCGACACGTCACAGTACTGTCAATTACTCATTTCGATTAGGTGAGCCGAAAGTGAGACAAAAAGTATTGTGCCCAAATTTATAGTCGTTTCCTTGCTGTTTCCTTTGATGGTCGGTATTATCGAAGAACGTTGAAATGGCCCGTTGGACAGCTTTTGTTGCCTTACTTGTTGAGAATCGGCATCGAAGTCATTCGGCCGTTTCTCTACTCTCAGAACATCGATGTTCTCGAGGATGACTCCTATTTGATGATGTTTCCTTTATTTTTGATGTGTTCGTTGGATTGGGTAACAAATCAGAAAATGAGAAAGGTGAGTTTTCTTTTTTTAGTGGCTTAAAATGTATCGCTGAATTAGAGGAAAGTTCTTTGCATAAGTTGATGCTAGTTTGTAACCCGCTTCGCTTGAGTTTGTGACTCGGTTTACTTCAACTTTTGTTTCAAAGCTAAAAAATTTGAAAAACCACTCAAAAGTGTCCACTCGGTATTTAGTTAAGAAGACACAACAAAACGAGTCAAGCTGAGCGTTTGCTGATGATTCAGGTCGGTAATAATGTGATTTTTGCAATGTTGTGAGTAATGTTAATCAAGCTCTTTTCAGATGCTTTCCAATTCATTTCTTATCTTGTGGATAACAATTTTCTACTTTTTTGCGCTAGATTTTGTCCAACTTTTCTTCGGCTACAATGTTCTATCCGTTTGGCTTGAGTTCTCTGATTTCAATCGAATTTTGCTTTTTAACTTGATGGCAAGGTTGGGAACAAGGTGGAGATGATTTTTCAATTGACTTAAGCATGATCAGTGTGGTTTTTCTTCGAAAAAGAAAAGAAAAGTCACGAAATGGACGCCGTGTGACCGTCTCGTCGGTTTTCCCTGTTACCACCAACAAGCAATGATCGCTTGAAGGCACAATTGGCTTTCATTGTATTTTGCAGCTGTATTAATATAGTAATAAAATCGTTAAAGAGCAGTTTATCATCATTCAAAAAAGCACAATGGTTATAGTGTTCTACTCTGAAGTTGTCAAACTTTTCGCTGGCATTTTGCACACAAAACGAGGATAACTGAAATTGTATGAGCAACTAAAAGTTCTGAGAAGAACAACGCATCACAAAATCGTTCTCCATCTTCGGATTGACATCAAATGTTCATTTATGCTCTTGCAAATAGCTTCCGCTTCTGTGAAATTCCAATAGTGTCAGTTTTGACTGTCGATGTAGGCAAAGTTCTGAAAGCAGACTGTGTGTTTATGTTTTCTTTTCTTGATTTTCAAGGTTATTGCCTTGCCTGAAGATAGTAGCAAGATTTTGTTTGTTCACTTCCCAAACACTTCACAATGCCTCCACATTTTTCCATTTTTTCTCTACCAAAAGAACTGTCAGATTCGATTCTCTCTTCTGCCAACTATTCCGAAAAACTCTTTTCAAAATGACGAAATACGTCCACAACTACCACAACGGATTGTTTCCGAGAAAAATCGACACGATCACCGTTTGTTTGCTGAAAATAGGTACCAAGTCAATCACCTTTCACCAAAGAAGTTCCTTTTCAAAAATTTTTCCTTCATCCGACCAAACATAGTAAGGGAATCTCGCTGAAAGAATGCTCCAAATATAATGAAGACGATGATTTTGGCTTTTGGATGCATGAAACATCGGCCAATTCAACTTATCAACAGGATGATCTTCTATTCGGATTGATTCACCAGAAACAAACAGTCTACTTTGGAGAAAGTTACGGAAAAAGAGCTAACATTGCCGGGATTTTGGATCACTTTCTCTCAAAAAACCAATTGTGCAATACTGAGACTTAAATGGGGCGTTAATGTGGAACACACGATGTCTGGAGAGAAGTTGCGAGCGTTTCTCGGTGACCGCGGGGGTCTGTTCGCTAATTAAACAAGCCGGGAATCTTGAGATCGCTTCATAGCTACAAATGGCACTGCTTTTGTATCGACAACAGCTGCCAACTACCAACTATCACGAACTCGATACTCTTCAAACTATGGGAAATGAAGCGGAAAGAGAAATTGCCGGCAATTTTCTCGATGAGTGCTTTCGAAGCGAAAATCCCTTTTTTGCAAATCGAGAAATTTCAAGTTTAGTACTCAACATTTCAGAGCCAATGGATGTGATTTTGGATCACGATCTTTCATTTGTCACAAAGATGTTGAGATTGAAAATGAAGCACGTGTTTCTTCGATGGGAAAATCCTCCACGAGGGACACCGTTGAGAAAGCTTTACAATCAGTTTAATTGGAATTTTTGCAAAAGGCCCAGTGAAAAAATCTTTTTCGATGTGCTTGACGGTGGAAACACTTTCTACACATTCCATCACAAAACTCTCAGAGAAACACGGGAAATGATGAACTCATTTTTAAGCGTAGAAACCACAAGGGAGCTCGGTGATTCACTCGTTGTTTTGTCGTTCACTCAAACACAGGTCGTGGACGAGCACCAACTCTGGTCAAAATGAACAGCTCTTTCACCGCTATTCACGCCTCGTCTTGCAATGTTTCAAAAATTTTGCACTGCATCGGTCTTCAATGCTGAATTTCGCAAACCTTTTCCAATTGTTTGTATAGTTCTATTGGTTATAGTGTTGATAGAAAATGTAGATGACCTCAAGAATTGTCACAACAGAAGCACCAAAGAACTTTCCGAGTGTTCCGCCGACATCGCTTACAATTTTGTAAAATTGTCTGAAACAAAGCTATTGGTTGAAACTCCAGATTTTGTTAGCTAGATCAAACAAATCATGGCTTGCTCTTCAAAAGGCCATCCACGAGACGCTAATCTGGTCGAGAAGTTTCCTTGAAAATTGATTTTGACTTTGGAGTTGAGCCCTTGTAGACAACGATTTTCTTTGGAGTCATTTTTGTGTCCTCATTCAAACTGAAAATGTAACGCATATCGAAGTTACGGAGCGGCTGAAGAATTTTAGTGTTTTCTTTGTAAAAAATGTATTTGTCTTTTTTTCTCTTACAAAGAAAAACAGTGTTTGACTGCAAACAATTAATCTTCTTCCGATATAAGTGTGTTTTATTCATGCAAATGAACATCTTTTTCTTTCAGATCGCATTAAGCTGTTGGGATTTAAAGTTGACGTTGGTCGTAGAAATGATACTTCTAAAGTTTAAAAGATAAATTTGACGTATTTTACCAACATGATTGCCGGAGTTTTTGTTCGAAACGGATGCCAAAACATCCGAATGATGGGTTCCCGATAGGGCTGAGTGAAGAAAATGATCAACAGTGAGCCGATCGTTCCGTGAACGGCCAGGCAGAAGGCTTCCATGTTAACAAAAGCTGAAAAAGATAAAGTTTTGGAAACAAATATTGCTCTTAGACCTACAGAATCGTCAAAGTAATGTGTATTTAATGTCCAGTTCGCAAATTAATTAATCTTTGTGAAACGGGAAAGTGGTTGGAGTGGACTAATTAGAAAAAATGTGCGTATTTTTTCCGTAATCATTATCATTGCTCAACGTGAGTTTAACAAAGAACACACTTTGCATAAAAAAGAGAAATTCTGATTGTTGCCTAAACTAAATTCAAACCTTGGGGAACACTCATTCCCGCACCGAACACCACAAGCAGTAGAGTGAAAGGAATACAAACGAGTACAAGCGGAGCGATTGTCTGAAATCGATTACAAGGCCATCAAAATTTTAATGGTAATGGTAAGAGTGGATTTTTAAATGATTCGACCTGTAGAACCAGAATATAAAAGAATTGTCGTTGTTGTTGTCTTGTCTTTACACTCATCGATTGATGCTTTCCGAGCATATGTAACGTGTGTGGGATAACGAAAATACCCTGAAAAAATAGCAGTGTAATTTTTATTTATAATTTTACGTGTTTGACTGCCAAGCTATCTAAAATGCGGAAAATCTGATGTTGATTTTGGTTAAATTGAATAGTACAAGTGGGTCGGCTGAACGATGAACAATAAAAGCTCTAACATCCACTAAAACTGATTCAAAAATCAGTTCCCCGATGAAACCAAATGTGAAAATGTTGGCAGCGGTGATCATTTGACAATTTGTCTCAAAGAACGGAACATTGTAGTCGACTCGCCACACGTCTGGATCGCTCAATAAGTAAACGTACTCAGGAAAGCTCTAATTAAGCGTTCATCAAAAGAAAGTTTCAAAGAAAGATTCGACAGTTTCTTTTTGCTTTAGAAAGCCTGGCCTCACTTGATGAATCAGCTCTCGAACAGTGTCTGATTCGGAAACTTGCACAAGATCGGTTTCTTGGATGATGAGTATGGTGGTCGGTATGTAGAAGAGATAATGGGCCAGGCAAACCACAACACACCAGTGCTTCTTGAGTCTAAATAGATTGAATTGTTACACGGCATAAAGATTAGATTGGTCCAAAGAAATTATTTAATTTAATTTCGTTTCGAATCGATGCGAAGTTTTTGGGATCTGTTCTGGATTGAACCGATTCAGTTCTTATGGAAATTCTTTTCTCCGCGTCTCTTTGAGATCGATTTAAACCCAAGGCTATGAAGGTGCCTTAGCACTGTGGTATGATCAACCCCTAACTCTTCTCCCAATTCACGCGATGATACCCGATGATCGTTGGTAATGAGTTTGAGTAATTTGGAATCATCCAGTTGGGGTGACGCTCCACGGCCCTCTGCATCTTTCAAAAATTTGTCCCCAGATCGAAACTTGGCAAACCATACTCGACATGTTCTTTCGGAAGGTGAGTTCTCCCCATATCTCTCTTTAATATTAGCAGCTGCCAAGCCTGCACTGTGCTCTTGCAGGAACTCATGAAGCATGACATGACGAATATGTACCGGTGGCAGATTGTCGAGTGCAATAGAAGAAGTGAAGAAAAATATCATAATTCACCAACTTGTTGATTGTAGAATTACAGTTCTTAAACTTCATTTTGTTTTGTTTTTTAGCAAAGTTTTCAAAACAAGATGAACTGGATTTGATGAATTTGCACGGCTTTTCAATCTAGGCACTCTCTTTATTTATTCTCAAAAACAATTAGCTGCTAGACATAACAAAAATATTTGAGAATGACTCAATTGGGAGAGTATAAAAGATGGAAACTTTGGGAAGGCAATCAACATTCCTTCGATTTGAATATTTTCTCCTTCCTCTCTAAAATGCAATCTTGTCTCATTCTTGCTTTGGCTACGGTAAAAAAGAACATAATTTAGGATCTAATTCCCATCGAATTTCAGTCCACTCTCGCTTTGTCATCTTTTCCCAATCAACAATTCAGTTCTAATCAGGTAACATCGACCACCAATCCATCAACAATATCCAACAAACAGTTTGGACAACAACAACCGTTTGGAAATGGATTCAATCCATTGGGAAATAACCAGGGATTGGGACAACAGGGACAGGGATTGATGGGGAATCAGGTAGTAGAGGGTTGGCGATAATTAGAGAGTTGAAAGCATTTAGCAATTTCCATTGAACAATCAACAATTTCCAAACAATATCTTCCCTCAACAACAGGGACAACAAGGAGCATTCGGAAATCAGGTAACTGCGTTGAAACAAAAAATCTTAAAGACTTTTAAAATTATCTATTAATGCTCATAACCTATTCATTTTCAGTTCAATCCACTCACCCAGCAGCAATCTGGTTGTGCTAATGGACAGACACAGGTTTACACACATTGAACAACTTTATATTGATTCAAATTTTTAGACATCACAGTTCTGTTCTGCTCAGTTACCATGCTCTACAGGACAAGTAAGTAAAAGAATTCTCAAAATTGTATCAAATCCACCAAATGTTTTGCTTTCAGATCTGCTGTGTTCGATCCCAAAACACTCTCTTCCCCCAACAGCAACAGCAACCACAGTTCCCCATCAACACTTTCAATCAACAAATCCCAACTTCTCAACAGGTTTTTCTATTTCAATTATCATAAAAAGCTAAATATTAAGAACAACATCCAGTCCCAACAACAACCCCTCACTAACTCTATCTTGCCCACCACACAACAGGTTTTTCTAACTTTAAACCTTTTTGGAAATCAATCAATTTAGTCACGCGGATTTGGTGTTTGTCAAGCAGCCATCACTTGCCCTATTGGATACACTCGAGTGTAAATATCAATTGTATAAAAGAATCTGAAATAAATATAGCACATTTATTTTCAAAAAATACAGACAAAACACGACAATTTGAACAATGAATAATTTTTTATGAGTAAATAATTAATTTTGTTTTATTGATTGAGTCTTTTAGTAGATAGAGTTTTTTATTATAGAGAATTCGACTGTACAATGGATCTTATTGAATTTTCCTTCACTCACCTTTTCCCTATGTCCTCCTTTTTTTTGATCTTCTGCAGCTCTCTCTTTCCATTGCATTTTTCGGCAAAAAAAAAACATTTTGCTTCAGCAAAATCCTGCAATTCTGAAATTTATTATCTTTAAATGGAATCCAATCTCGTGCCCAGTGGTGTCTCGTGGTATTGCCACAACCAGTGCCTCGGTGACCAAATGAAATCTAAAGGGCTCGCGATGAAGAAAAAGGTTTCTTATCTCTAATTATAATAGTCATTAAACACACACATTGAAAAAGACCATAAAAGGTTAACAACCATGCTTTCATGATTTCAAACGTGCCAAGTGGTTCTGTCTTGCCCCAACTTGTAATGGAAAGTAGACATGTCCATTTTCGAGTTTTGGCGGCCGGGTGGGGCTAGCGGGTCGGGTCAAGCCAAACATTTTCAAGTGCCATTTGCCCTACCTTGAATCATTCTGACATCACCGCTGTTCGGGTTTCCTTTTCGGATCAGGTGTTGAGCACGGTGATTGACGAGCTGACGAATGCCCTAAAACCGTTTTGGATAACCTAATTCACCTTAAATCTAAATGTTTTATCTTTCCGTTAAAAATATTTTTGAGATTCCCTTTAAAATCTGCACCATTCTACGTTGTCCCACCTGAGCCCACAGATGAGTTTCTCGGATTGCTCACCAGCACGTAGTCGTACATGCTTGGCACCAATCTGAAGTACTAAAGACAGCAAATGAGAGGTTGACTCACGACTTTTCTAACACCAAAAATCTAAAAGAACAGTGTCAACTAACATGGCATCGTCCATAAGCCCCTCTTGCACGCACTCGAACCAACGTGCCGTCGCTTTTCAGCTTGGTCGTCACAACAACATCTGAATCGCGGCTAATTCATCAAAAACTTAATATTCGGAAATTTTAAAACTGAAACGAAAACCTTCTTTTGAAACGCAACATCAACAAGACAACAAGACAACAAGACAAGACAGGCATCTCCGAGACGTTTTCAAGCTTTTTCGGAGTGTTCTTATAGCCAAAAATGCAAGGGAAAGTGCGGTGAAATAATCACAACTATTACTTTACTTTTTACTATGCTTTTCAGGCTGTATTCTATTTCCCGGCTAAACAGTTTTGGAGAATTTTTACAAATACCCGCTTACTGCAAAGCTCTGATTACGATTTTTGCCTCAGTCAGTCAAAAAACGACAAAAAACGAGTGAGAACATAAAATGACGACAGCTGCCTTATCAATTCCTTTCGTTGCTTTGCTTGCTGATCAAACGAAAAACACGCTGATTTTCGAAACCACCCATTCAACATTCAAAGATCCAGAATTCAAGCTAGAACAACAATGTCAATTTGTTTTTCGACTTTTCCCAACGAACTCAAAAGATCTGTTCTGAGATTTGCGTCCGTTAAATTATTTCTAAAGTTGGTGAAAATAAATAGAGCGCTGCGTCATCTCGTCTTCACAAATGGACCATTTCCAGGCAGAAAACTCTCTATTCACTTCACTTTCTCTCAACTTCCAAACGTCAATCAACCCAGTCTCTCGTTCGAAATCCAATCCAATGAAGACTCTTTAAAGATATTCATTTCTCAAGAATTTGTGAATATAAATCAAAAGAACATTCCTTTTTCCGATCGCCAGATTTTCCAGCTTCTCCTCAACAAACTCAGCCCCTCTTGTGACAGTTTGAAAATCTCTTTTTCAAGTAATCACCCATTTGATCTACGATATCTGCAATCACTTTTTGAAAATGGATTTCTTCCAAGTGTTCACCACATGAATAAGCTTTTGCTTGACACGGATAATCAAGCTTTTTGCGAATACATCACTTCCCATTTAAACGCTAAAATCGATGGATTGACGAGAATTGGTGTACTACCCGATTTCTGGGTTGAAAAGTCACATGCATTACTAGAACTCTTCGAAAAGTCAATGTTCCATCACTGCGACTCACTCATCGTTGATGGGCTCTTCTCGAAAAACTCTTATACAGATTTTTTTCGTTTGAAGTTCAAGTCGCTATTTTTCGGTGATTTGAGGGAAGATCGTTTTGAGGATTTCACCAGCCAACTGATTTCTCAAAATTTTAAAGAAAATCAAAAATTTTGCATTGCTTTGCAAACATCACTCAATCGAACGAAACACGATTCGACAAATTGGGTAAAACGTGATCGGAAGGAACTCGAGAAATACAGAGATCTACAAAAGATCGAAATGAACTCTTGTTATGCTAAAGAAACTGGGAAATTTGTTAAAAAGAACTTGCAAGAACCACTGGTTGTTCGATTTGGAAACATTTTTGAAAATGGCAACTTTTCGGAGGAAACTTCTGTTAACCTAGCTCTATTTAGACGTCGAATTTCACGATATTTGAGTGCTATTTACGTTTTTCACATTTCTCGATCGTTCACCCATTGTGTCACGAGTCAAAAAACGCTTTTGATTTGGCTTTGCCCGGAGAAAACGATCATCGAAGTTGAATGACTCGCTTGTTTAGAACAAATTTTCGAAAGCTTTACATCGACTTCACTGGGTTTTCCAGTTAATTGTTTTGTTTTCACTTTTTTGGATAAACTCTCACTTTCTTCAGTATCAAAGTGCACAAACTAAAAAATTTATCCCAAAAGTTACTGGAGAAACTTTAGCGTAAATCGACACCAATTTATTCTTAAGTGAAAATGACATCCAAACGGGGACAATAAAAATTTGTTTAGGTTCTTTAAAGATCAATTTTAGACATTTTAGTGAAATTAGGATCTTTTGGAGCAGACTAATAGCAAATCTTCGATATTGTTCTGTCATCAAAAGTAAAGCGGTTGATCCAATAGTGCCATTAGAGGTGAACAGGGCAAAAAAAAATGCAAAAAAAGAAAATTGTTGCCAGCTGAAATTGGACAGTCAAGAACTAAAAAAACAAAGAATGCTAGACCAGAGACTAGCCACAAAACCATGAAATCGCTCACTAACTGGGCTAGAGTCTTACAGGGTGGCTGCTAGATATCTGGAAAATCGCGGCGCATTTTTAAAGGGAAGCACAAATCAGTGGCTTTCGATACTCCGTCATCTCGATCAGGGTCACCCTCAGCACATAGTACAAGGCGAAAAGATTCAATGGGAACGATCCAAAGGGAAGGAGTCTCATAGTAGAGATAAATTGACGGCTCTTCCAACATCGATTATCAAAATCCGAAAACTTTCTCGAAATACTGAGCCTTGATCACACTTTCCAAATATTGCCATATGAGAGCATGAGAAAACACCTGTTCACAAGTTTGGGGTCAAATTTTTGAGGCCGGTGTAAAATTTCTGAATAGGTGCTTGACGCAAGACCAACATGCTCAACTTTTTCAGAAGAAAATTTCTAAAAGCAAATAATTTAATAGCTTGATTTAAAAAATACTTCTTACCAAAGTTAAATTAATTCTTTCGGGACGTAGCTAATTTTTACGGCATCGTGATCAGCATAGTCGATTCTATGAAGCCGATTTGATCTCGAGTCGATTCCGAACGTCGAGCTGAGACCATTTCCTCGTTATTAAAGTTTTTTTCACTTCCGCCTGCCTAGGGCTCAAAGGTTCCCTTGTTTGTTTAGCCGAGAAAACAAAAATCTCCTAATTTATGCGGTAAACAAGTTTTGTTCAAAAAACAGTTTTTGTTTTTTGCAAGACAAAAGATTCTTATCAGTTGTAAGCTTCGCCATTAAAAAAACTTGCATAAAAGGGGTCAGTTCCATAACAATTGAAGACATATTCCATTTGGTCTTTGTTATGAACTCTGTGCACAAATGGGCGCTTACGAAAACGAGTATGAGATCGAATCGGATTACGGTAATTTGCTGGATAATGTTTATATCCGTAGATCATACTTATTTCAAAAGTTAATCCAGAGACTTCAAAAGAAAAACATTTACGGTAGATTTAACGGAGTAGTGCTGACTTGGGTATTGTGATTTATCTGGATCGAGCATTAGAAATTTTGGTGGCATCCACGGTGGATCCTGATAAGTAGGAAAGGTCTAGGTACTAGCAAACTCCAAATTTTACTCTTCAGTAACTTCTCGAATGACACTTTTCGATTGCAAACTGTTGCTGATCATAGGTATCCAATCTGCTGTATTAGCACAATCACTTGTTGCAATATTTGAGTCAGCAACCCATCCAGACTAAAATTTAACGCTAAACAATCATTGAGAATTTTTGATTTCAGAAAAGAACTCATTTGCTAATATCATGAGTTTCCAATCGAAAAAACCACCAGTGATGCCGTCTACGAGAGTCCCGTGTAAGTGTGTAAGTTCTTGCTTTGATTTGAATTTGGCTGGGAAAACTTTTAGAATTAAATAGAAACATTTTCTAAACCATCCCAGTTTATGGCTGCGGTATTAGCGTACCTAAGCATTTACAAATTTTTGACAACTCACTGTTTTTAGAGGCTCACCGAGACGTCATGGGCCAAAAATCGAAGGAAACACAAAGTGCGTTGTTTTAGCAGTCCACGTCAAGAATTTAAAATATCAATTTCTCTGTTAATTTTAGCATTTCAGGCTTTCATCATGATCTTTTCCACACTTTTCATCGTTGTCGACGCCGTGTTTTGGTCACTGATTCATTTGACCAGCAACGAGAGGTTTTCTTCGAACTTCTTCAGCCCGTTTTCCGGCTCTATACGAATAACGACTCCTTTGCAACGACCCATTTGTGGAAAAATATTTAGTCAATCAAAAATAGACTTTTTCAGAAGCTTTTATTACCAAAATATAACTCGGATTAAGAGCTACATGTTGGTGATAAAAGTTTCATTTATTGACTAAACGCCTTCATAAAATGGTTCATTTTGAAAGGAGGCCAATAATTTAAAAAGACATTAGTGCAGCTTTAAAAAGCTTTAATTTCACTTGATCATTTTGACATTAGTCGATTATTTTGAAAGGAGGTTTGTAATTTAAAAGAACGTCGTTATTATTAAAGACCCAATTTTTCTCCTTTTAGCCCACTGAAAGAGCTGTTCTCGAAGGGTCTCTTCGATGCACTTCACGCAATTTTCGGAACCGCCATTTTCTTGACTTACATCGTTTTCTGTTTAATCGGACTTTACGGGATTTTGTTCAAAAGGAAAGCGTTCTTGCTAACATTCATCATTTATTTGGCGAGTAACTTTACAAAGTTGTACTCAATGTTCAAAAACTATTCGAACTATTACTCTAGCTAGTGTTTATAGAGGAAATCTATGTTTTATCAAAAAATGATTTTAGTTCATAGTCGTGTTGACATGTCTGCCACACATCATCTATCACATCACCGTCAAAAGCGATACGTTGACAAAGGTCGTCATTGTGATAATCATTTTCTTGTGGTGTTTGACTTGTTTATTATTTTGCATTTTTCATTATCGACATTTGAGAATTTGTGTTAAATGCTATTGAAAAGCTCATGTTTTCTCGAAAAGTTAGTAAGCTTAAGCTTCAAGATTACCAAACTAGAGAAGGGTCTCAAGTTCAGGTGGTCTTTTTGTGTGTTTGATTTACATTTGAGGATTTATGAATTGGATCTTTTTGTCAGTTTTACTTTACGTCTCTCCTTAAAATGACCTATCAGACAAATACATAAGTGTCTCAAAAAGAGAACTTGTCAAAGCTTTTTGTGAATTGATAACATGTTGCATGTTGTATTTTATTGTGTTTTAAATGTTTCAGTCGGTTAGTCTTGTTTTTTTGCCGAGCTGACCCCTTTTTTGTCGGGTTGCCATTTCAGCTCTTATCAAATAAAAAAACAAATTGAACTTTCAGTGAAAAAGGCGTCACTATTGAACTCTCGACGTTGAAGTTTATTAAAGTTGCATCCCTCAGATAGTATGGGGACCATTTGATACTAGCCCCGATTGAGGGGTTCCTAGAAGAAGACAATAGGAGGACAATCGGCAAAGTTCATAAAATCGTTTTGGCCGGCTATTTTTTCGTAATTCTATTTCCCAGTCGTTTCATGACTGTCGGATTCGACGGTTTCTACTTCCGATACACCCTGAAATGGCCACTGATCTAAATCACGTGCCCTATCGCTCTCTGCATCCTTCCCAGGCAGACAATTTCGTGGCTAAAAGAAAGATCGGGCAGTCTGAATGGCTACTCGGATGGCCCCTATGATTACTATTATGTGATCAGTTCCACTTTATTCTTTCTGATGTGTGCTCTAGATTCCACGATAAATCGAAAAATTAAAAGGTTACAGAAAAGAAGAAATAAAAACTGTAAAGAGAAATGATTTCAGCTAAAAAAGACAGGAAAAGCTTCGCGTGCTGAGATCCTCTTAATGTAAAAGGTTTGAATGAATGGAATAAAGATAAGTCGATTGAGTCAATTAGATGATCACCACGTCATTGACGGTGTTGAGCAGTTAGCTCATCTACCTGTTTCTTACGATATCTGCCGGGGCCCTACTCGGCTTCACATTAAATAGAAATTGGCATCACTCGTTGCAACCCTTTCCATAAAGTTATGTTATTTTAAAAAATATTCGAAGTATTTACGATAAAAATTTTGAGAAAAATAGAAAAAGATTGGCTTTTGTTTGATCTCAAAATTAGTGCAATTAAAAGAGCAGAAGATAGCCGATGCATGCTCCCTTGAGAAATGTTCCTTCGTAAACACGGGTTTTTCGGTTTGTTCAAAGGTACACCTTTTTTGTTCAGACAGTCCAAACACCCAAAAGTATTTTGCCAAAAAACAGGAAGCTATTAATGTCGAGCTTTAATTTGGAATTCAATGCAACGAATCTCTTGGAAAACTCCTTTGCACTTCGGGTAAGAAAATGAAAGTTTATAGAGTTTCTTTTGCTCTTACCAAGTTTTATCAAAAACTCAAAACGTTTTACATTTAACTTGTCAGGAGTTTTTGACTAAAAATTTGAGAGTTTGTATTTTTTTCTAGCGATTAGTTGAGCCATTTTTTCTAATTTTTTCTAGCCATGGACATTCTTTTTGTATACGAGTTAAAATAAAAGATCAATAACACGATGCCCAGGTGTTCAACTACTTCCATCCACAAATCTTGCCGATGCTCGACCAAGATTGTCCTTCAATGTCAACAGAGTTAAGCGTCAGAAATCTGCGACTAGGTGGCTAATCTTAAAAAGCAAACAAAGTCTCTACTCAGGGCTTTTCTATTTCTCGATCGGTCTCAGCTATCCGGCTCCCTATGCCCTTTGTCTGATCGGTATGTGGAAAGGCGGATTGATGAAGATACTCTGTTATCGAATATTGTGAGAAATCTAGCTTAGAGCATTGAGATTAGACCATAGATTTCTCATGGGCATCGTCGATATTCTCTCCGCATTTCCAAACTCGTTGGTGCCTGGGTATTTGCTGATTACGGGCGATTCGGTGTGTACGAGTCCGATTGTGAACCTCTATGGAGGAGGGCTTTCATTTTGTGAGTGCTGTAGATCGATTGGTGAATGGCTTCACTGATTGTTAAAAAAGTCGTATTGAAGGCTAAATTGAGTACTAGTAATTGAGTAATTTTCTAATTGGCCATCTTTTAAATTTGCAAGAGGAATCTCGAGAGTCTAAAAACGATGTGCACGTAAATGTTGCGTACTCTACCCATTATTTACCATTAAAACTTAATGTAGCAAGGTTGAAATTGTCTAGTATCTTCTTCACAGAACATTCAACAATGCAGTAGTTTATTGCATCATCTTTCAATCATTTCATTCAGTTCTATGGTCAATTTATTGCTGTCTGAGTATCGTGTTAGCTGTCAACCGCTGCGTAGATTCTTTGCTTCCACAGTGGCAACAGGTAGACACTGGCTGAACTTTTTGACTAAAGAATTTTAGGCATTTTTTGGTGGGTTTCGTTTATGGCTTTGGGCGGGCATCTCATCGACGATCGCCCTGCTCTCTTTGCTCTCCAAAAACGACTTCACTTTCATTTGGAACAACGAAATGGCCGCCTATTTTCTCGACATCGATCCGAACAAATCTGTCGAGGTTTCAGCTTTTTTGGATTTAAGAAAGTACGAGATTCTCTTAGATTTAAACTTGAATAACACTCAAAGCTTTTAATTGAACAATCAACTTTTAGATTCCATTTCTCCATTTTATGAGCAACGTCGTCGGCTCATCGATAATCACAGTGCTCAACATGGTGATGCTCTTTTCGATGTTTCGTACGGCTATCAAGTCGGAAGTCGGCGTTTCGCATGTGCAGAAAGTGGTGAGAAAAGAAAGTTTACAACACTCAACAATAGAGGGAACCCCTCTTTTGTAAATGTACTGTCTTCTAACTTGTGGATAATTCAGAAATCTACCGTAGTCCGATCCAGTATTAGTAACATTATATAAACCTTACAAGTCCTCCACAATTGATATTAAAATTGTGTTGATTGGGCAAAGTGAACAGTTGGATTACGGTAGATTTCTGAATTATCTACCACCTAAAAAACAGTGCATTTACAAAAGAGGAGCTCACTCTACTCAACAATAGACGTGATCAGAAATTTGATTCTCTGTCAGATTTTCATCCAATGTCTCCTCATCTGCTCGTCGGTCATGTTGAGCTCTTGGCTGTATGCATCTCTTCAATTCTTCACCCTACCACCAATTTTCGGCTTTCTCGCAATGATCGCTTGGCAGTTTGCGAATGGTTTGCTGGAAAATTGTCTGAAAATTCATTTATGATTTGACTGGAATTCAAAGAGAACAAAGTATTGACTGATATTACAAAAAATAACTTGAAAACTTACAAGAAACGTTAGATCCTTGAAGCTAAAAAGTTTTTTTGAAATTTGACAAAAAAGTTGAACAACAGGGCAAATGGGCAAATGCAAACCCAACAACTTCAATTCTTTTCAGGCGGTCCAGTTCTATTCTACTTGATCGTGAATCGAACGATTCGGAACGAGGTGAAACAAATCATTAGCTGTCATGGAAATCAGCGAAGAGTCTACGCGACAAACTCGAACACCGCGAATGAGGTGGATCTCCGAAAAAACAGTCCAAATTGAACTTCAACACGTGATGACTTTGTCAAATTCCACCATATTTACGTTTTCAATGAATAAATTTAAGGTGTTCAAAAATACACCTTTTTGTAGTACACTTGAAAATGCCAGAGACAAAGCAGTGACGTGCCTGGGGAAATGGGCTCTTCGACTAGCGTTTTCTTTCAAAAATGAAAATATCTTTTGCATTCAGTTTTAAAATAGATCGAAAGATTAAAAAGATTCGTATTCAAAAAGATCTTCTCCACAAAAGTTCTTTTCTCAAAGTTTCCATCGTGAAACATTGCTCGTCAAACTTAATCGATCTGCTCAGCCCATTCTTCTCATTTTGAGTCATTTTTGGTAGGTTTGCCATCAAACTCTTCACAAAAGTTTAGCAATTTTCATATTGACAAAAGATATTCACAAGCGTTTGGAAATTTGCTTGTTGATAAGCACCCATATTGTCAATATCATGTATTATGTCGCCTTTGCCCGCAACCGTTTACGCATTGGATCTTATCATATCTTTGGTGAGTTGTTAGCAACAAAATCAGTAGCAATTAAAAAAAAAGATTCTGATTTTACCGTAAAGCTCTAGATGGGAATTCTCTCGGTTCTTTGTAATGCTCATTGTTTGTCCGTTTGCTGGAGATCTCGCATCTGGGCTCAATCCGTTCGTTATCTTCTCACCGTCGATTCAGTGTCTCGAGCCATGTACTCGCTTAATTTTTTTTCTATTTATGCTATGCTTATACAAAGTAAGATTTTGATAAGAATCTGTATGAGAGCTATTGCTAAGTGATTCAAAGAATTTGTTAAAGCCTTTTAAAGCCTAAAGTTTCCACTGCTTCGTTTCCATTTCTCCGAGGATCTTTCTTCGTTTATTCAGCGGCGAATTGGACAATTGCCAAGTATGCAGGATTTGTTTTATATCCTGGTTATGGCATCTCATTTTGTGCAAAATTTGGTTTGTCAAACTTCTAACCAAAAAATCCTTTCAACTCTTTCTCTCAATCGCTTCTTGGCCGTCTCGTTCAACGGAGTCTATTTTCACAAAGTCAAACAATTCGCTTGGTTACAAGTCGGCTCAACAGTCATTGCTGGCTGTATAACTATGAATTGCCATTTGGTTGATGAAGATTTTTTAGTTTCTTAAAGTTTCATTTCAGTCGAGAAAAACCTTGTGCTTGTCTCATTGGTTCTGTCGTTGGATCTGGTGATTCTCGCAAAAGTTTACGTTAGTCATTTGTTTTAGTGTTTTAACTGAAAGTTTAAGAGTACTTTTCAGAGTAATTTTATAACCCTAGCATAAGTTTTACATTAACTTACATCATAAATTAGCATTCTTTTCTCATTTGCAAACAAAAATCAGTCATATACCAATCCTGAAATTTAGCTGCCGGTTTCTTTTGTGGAACTTCTTATATGTAAATGAGGGAAATATGAATTCTGGATGATATAGCAGAATAGTACCAATTTTACCACAAAACCAGTCATGTTTTTCAACCAGTCAACAAAACGGTTGAAAGCAAAAACAGATACATTTTGATGAGTCGAGTTTTTAATTAGATCGAGTGGAGAAGATGCCTTCCATCGAATGACTCAACTTCTTTTCATCTCTACGTAGCAAATAGGTCGTTACCATGCTAAAATTAATGTTATTCAGTTTTGACTATTACGAGTAAAACCAGCTAATCGAGAATTGAATTCTCAAAACATTCTCTTGCATTCAACCCGCTTCTAATCTTTTTACTTCATTTGGTCACCTCACTTTTTGATTTCTTAACTGCAGCTAACAATTTTCTGTAATACCAGTGTATAGCAACTCATTTTTAAAAACTACGATTATACGACAAGAGCCAAGTTTTTGAAGGCTGAAATCAGTTCAACTTCGACTCACCCTTGATACAGTTGAGATCCCGAGTAGGCGAATAAATTAGCAAAATAATACGGTATATCGGTGAGCAAAGGCCAATCATTCATTGTGATCAGCCAAATGAATGGGCAAACAATGTGGCGAAAAGTGAATGGGAAGTTGTTGGCGAGAATCTGAAAAAATCGCAACGCATTTTTCAGTGTGATTTTGACCGTAAAAAATGTTTTTCTTTGAATGGAATAGAAATGAGAAACACTTTAAACATTTTTGGAAGTCAATTAGGAATTCGAATCGTCCAATAAAGTTCACCTGCGCCAGTAAAAAGCGTCCGCTTGCATAGTCGACATCCCTCTTTGTTCTCTGAATTCAGGCTTTTTGGATTGATTAAGTTATTTAGCTTACAATGAACTGGTTTCAGCTCAAAATGCAGATTTTACCCCTAGACGAGCCTCTTATTCACAGCTCTGCTAGCTACTCTTTTTGAAATGGGGAAAGCCATATGAAGACATTTCTGTGGCAATTTTTCTTCAATTTTCCCTTTTGCAACTTAAGCACATGTAATACGTATAATGGTTCCAATTTAACAAGTTCTTTTGTAAAAACTCACAGCCATCTTGTAGATTAAGATGAAATCCAATGGAATCGTCGCCGAAACCAACACGATTCTCACATCAACTGAAATATTAAAGAAATCGAGTTGACCCAAATCATCCACTTGTCAAATTAAAGAAAACACACCAAATTGATTGATCCATTGCCACGAGACCACCCCGAGCGCGCAGGGGATCCCAACTTGGAACCAGTGGTATTTTTGGACTCGATGATAGTAATAACCACGATACGAAAGGGCGAAAAAACGATTCAGTGACAGAGCTGTTGAGGGTTTTTGTTGGGGATAAAATAAAAAAGCATACCAATTTGTAAATAACCGGAAATATACAGAAAAGGTCCGAAAATGGCTTGTGCGTACTTGTAGATGGGCTCCATTGGGTAGCCGATGCATGTTAATGATGGTATGCTGAAAAGGGGAAACAACTTGATGTATTTACTTACAACAGAAAAACATCGGTTTTCAAACAACCAGCTCTTAGTTAGAAGCATAACACCTCTTATGTTAAGAGATTGCAAATATTTAGCCCACTAATTTTCTTTTTTGCACTGACGAATTTTTTAATAATAACGAGATTGCGCTAATAATAATATAGCCATAGCCTTTACATAACACAAAAAGTATTGAGTGTTTCTAATTTGAATTGCTGCTAAATTTCATAAATGAATGTGCCGTTATCATCAACTCCCTCAATAAGCACACACTTTTAAGGTGCCTTGAAAAAGGTGTGATTGCCGATATGATAGTGTTTAGGATTGAAGGTTAAACTTACAAAGCGGCAAATTGACAATAAAAAGCGACGACAAGGAGAATCGAGGCAAGCGATCGAGCAATCGAATCGGCGATTAATAGGAAAGAGACCGTTCTCGGCAGAAGTTTTGTCTTCCAGCAAAACCAGGCACTCAAAATGTTGACAAATGATGAAATGAATGCACACTGAAGAGGAAAATTCTTGATCTGTTCTAGAACTTTATGTAAAATCTGAAGTATCTTTTACAACATAAAGTTACACAAATTCTTTGAGATTAGTCACCTGACAGTACTAGTTTTGATGTAGTAAGGGCCTGTCAAGCCATGACTTGTTCTCGTTAATAACCAAAAGTCCGAAAAATTCCTCTGTTATGCATTTCCAACTTCATTTTTTGGAAACCTAGAAAATTCAGAGGGATCAGTGAGCTCAAAGAACTTTGCTAGACCATTGAACCGACTGGACTTTCTAGGTTACGCATTTTTCTGAATCCAATATTACTTTCTTGGAAATTTCATCTGGAAGTAATCTTTAACCGAAAGGCTCGTATCTCAGATGGTTTTTTGATACGATTTACATTAAAAGGATGCGTTTCTAGAGTGCTTTTTTAAAAGGTGCTCTTCAGAGTAGTGGTACATTTTTTGCTTCTGACAATGAGAGTATATCAAAATTGGATTTGGATTCTCCGGATTTGGATTAAACTCTCCGGACAAGTTTTAGCTCGGCGGTAAATGTCCCTTAGTAAAAAATGATAAACAATTATCACTGACCACAAATTGTATGCAAATAAACAAATTATGTAGATCGGCAAAACGATTGGTTTTCCCTATGCTATCGTATATTGTGTAGGCATTTGGTAGGAAAAAGAAGATGATGACCAAAATACCTGCAAAGTGGAATGTTTTGCTAAAATCATTTTTTTTAGTAGTTGATCTGTTAAAATAAAAGAAAAGCTAAACATTTGAAAGTTTCACAAGCTAACAAGATACTAAAATTTAGTAAGATTTACCACCGCTCGACAGAAATGTGAAGATACAGATGAGGGATTCCTTGATGAACTCTTTTCTCGACAGTTGACGCCTTTCTTCTCGTGTTCTGATGAGATTCGGTGAGATTTGGGGCATTTGCAAACTTTCGAATAAAATGAACTTTTTTGTTCTTCAAAAGAAAGATCAAACATTCCGATTCGCCGTTTCGGAGGAAATTCCAACAAAAGGTGTGTAGTCGAGGGTGGTAATTAGTGAAAATTGAGGGCTTCGAGGGTGGGAGTTCCAATGCACAATTCATAATTGATAATCTTATCAAAGTTTCGAGGAGAAGAAGAGCTTCTATCGTTTTTGTTATAAGACAAAAAAAGGTGTTACTCGGAAAAGAAAGCTGTTGAAATGTTTGGTTTAAATTGACCCCTTGGGAGTATGCTTCGATCTGAATGCAGAAAATCTGACTCATGTAGTTGTTTGATTGCAGAAGTTGTTTTTTCTAAAAACGCACTCAGTTATTTAATTGATTTTATTTCATCAATTAGTGTCTTATATTAAGAGTAAGGGTGAATATCCTCAGAAATTGTACTCAATGGAAATACCAAAAATGGCAACACCGCTCAAAAGTCAGTTTTCAAAATCTTTCTTTTAATTTTTCCCAAAGCCAAAACATCGACTGTCTTTTCTACCTTTCATACCTTTCAGATTGTCTGTGACGTCTGGTTTATTTTACTTTTTCTCTTCGCAGCCTCATTGTTATTTATTTACTCAGTTTTATTAGCTATCCAGTTTAACATATTGCTA